AAGTAATGATGTTTCAGATAGGAGCCAGCATTTCAAACCCATCTGTATGGAGATGACATCAGACACACTGCTTATGTTTCCACTTTCGGTGGTGTGAAAGAAAATATGTTGCTATATGTACTTACCTTTAGCGGGTGTGTTTGCTCAACTTGGACAGTTTGGTTGGGTAACTGCTTGAACTCAGAAAGCTTCACTTTCACAGAAAGCAAAAACTGGGCTTTTTTCATTTACAGGCTTCTCAGCTTGTATCAAAACCACCCTCTCAATCCTCATTGGGTTCTGCCACTATGACACTTAAATCCACTATTCTATGTAAATTATGATACGGTGACAAATTAATCTAGGACATAGTAAATACAAGACCTGTCACAGGAGACATCTCACAGTTTTACACTGCAGATGTTTAGGCTCACCTGGTTGACATCAACCTTCCATCTTCCCTGACAGTTCAGTGAGGGGTGGCAGTGCCAGGGTGGGCACTGTGGAGCTGTGCTGGTGACCCTGCCCTGCCCCTGGGGCAAGGCAGCTTCAGCACTCCAGCCACAGCCTGGCTGAAAATAGAGAGGGTGGCTTTTTCCACGTGCATCCCTTGTGAGCAGGAGCCAGGTCTCATTTCTCACTGATCAGGAGCCCAGTGTGCTGTGGGCACTTGTGGGGACAGCTCAAGGAGGTGCAGTCCCCACTGCTTTGGATCCTGGGATGCACTGGGTCCCAGCACAATATGCATTGCTTTGAATGAAGGATATTTGCCACTGATGGCATTTTCTGCTGGGAATGGGAACTTCTGAGCACTGTTTCTGCTGCAGAAAGATGCCATCACCCACAGTGCAGAGACAGGCAGTGAGGAGGGGATCTGCTGGCATGCACACTCTAAAGCCAGTCTGAGATTTCCACATCATCTTAAAGCAAGGATAAAATATCTAAGTGATAAGAACAGAACAATGAAATCTGAATAAACAGCACTAATGGATGTTTCCTAATTCCTTAAGCTCCCTCCTATGTTTATAAATGAAAGAGACACATCCAGACATTTCTAGTATGAGATCTCATTTCTTTTTAAATTAAAAATGCCCTTCTCACAGAAATGGCCACCTAAAGCATTCATCTTTTTATTAAAAATACATCTTTTGATTAAAAAAGTACACTGGGATTTCATTCTTATTCCAAGTCTATGCTTTTTTTTTTTTTTTTTTTTTTAATGTGGGTACAAGCATTTTTCTAAACTTAAAGAAACCCTTCTCAGAGGGGGGTGGAGATATGAAATATTTTTAAGATGTAGTTTGCTTTGATTTCCATAGAATTTCATTGCAGTGCTAGAAAGCTGCAGAAAATAATCCCAGTGAGAGGAATAACCAAGAGCCAGGTTATTCCTAAGGCTCCAAGACCCTTTCAAGTTGGTCTGAAAACCTCATTGTTAATCAAAATAATTGCATGAGAACCAATCAGGAAATCCTGAAACATTCAGAATGAAACCTTGTCATTACAAATTCACCATCATGGCTAAAAAACAGATTATCTCTGTCAAAAGCTGTGGGAAAGTTTGCTTTGTAGCAGTAGGGGCAGAAGTAAATATTTGCCCAATCTGTTTTGTTTATCCTAAAAACATATATACATGTACAGAGTTTCAATTAAACGCTATTTTCTTTCTCCCCATGTGTACATCATTTGAACTGCCCATGTGAGGAGCTTTTCAAGCATCTCTCCCAGGAGTCAGGGAGATGGCTCCGTGCCAGCGCCTTACTCAGACCATTACGCCATGGCAGGGCAGGTCGGATTGCTTTGAATTTTAAGCCTCACTTCTTTGGTCGCACCTCTGAGTCCATTTAAACATAGCTGGCCCCTTGCTGTAACTTAAAGCAATCTAAAGCAGATGCACAAAGTGCCACTGAAAACACCCACAGACGTGTTGGTTTTGCTGGTAAATGCCACAGCTTCCCAAGGCTGGTGATCACGGGGAGCAGGTGCAGGAGGAAGGGGTTCAGGTGTGAGCGGGGTCTGTTTCAGCAACATGCAGATTCCCCACGTTACTGTATTTAAAACACTTAAGAAATCATATGTTTTCTTGAGGAAGAGTGGTGCTGGGGATGTCTGAGCTGGAAAAGCTTGAGGGGACACCGGGACAGACCAAGAGTTCAAAACAGCTGTTTTACTGCTCTGTGGGTGTCATGAGCCCCTCCTGTACTCACCCCAGAACCCTCCATGCTGACATCGCTTTTGCAGGGACACAGTCAGAGATACAGATGCAAAAGGTCTCCAGTCTGGGCTGTCCTTTGCAACAGCTGCTTGCAAAATTAGTTTCAAAACACTTTGTTTTTGAAAATGAGGTCCACACTTATAAACATGCCATTTAAAAATGCAGTTATAAAAAAAAGGGCAAAGAATTAAAGGAAAAAAATTACAGCCAGTGGTTGAACCCTCTGAATCCTTTTCCCTTTGGAAGAGTGTTCAAACAGGTGAACAGGGAAGAAAAACAATGGCTGGAGAAAAAACAAATGGTCACCACATTTCAAAACACCTGCTGGAAGTGACTGCCACAAAAAATCATTCAGAACATTTTGGAAAATACCTGAATGATGCCCATAATCTACTGCTGCTGCAGAGGGGGCTGGAGACCTCCAGGCACTGCACACTGGGACCCCACTGGAGCATCCACTGGCATGTTGATCCCACTGGCATCACATGAAAGTGCAACAATCCTCTGTGAGGTATTAAGATAATTTCAAAATCTCTTTTTGCATGAAACAACTCACAGGAAAACAAAAGTATGGCTTATTTTGTCCAGATTTAGTAAGCCTTAGATCTTTATCTTCTCAGGGGATCAGAGTCCTGGTGCTTCTCCCACCCAAGTAATCGGGAATGCTGCCACAGACTCCAGACAGTAACCAGACCTTATCCTACAGGCCTCCCTGTCAAGCTGACACCTCTTCATTTCCCAGCACCTATGGTAGCAATAGATTTACCAGTGCTGGACAGTCTCCAGGGAGAGCAGTGGGACAGACAGCAGCCTCCTGCGGCTGCACAGGCAGGCGGTGACGATCAGTCACGATGGCTGCAGGTCCCTTCATGCTCAGCCCCCAGACTTGCTGCTAAACAAACCTGTGCCAGGATCCCTGTGGTGGAGGATGAGCTGAAGGGGGCACCTGGATGCCCTCAGCCCCCAGGCCTGAACCTGTGGTTGGGGCTTGTCTTCCCCAGCCATGGGTCAGCAGTGCAGGTGAGAGATGTGTCCTAGGAATGAAAAATCTGGCATTTTGGCCCTGCTCTCCCTCCAGGTCCTGGCAGTGCAGTGAGAGGCTGTCTCACCCCAGAGTGCTGCAGCCAGGACTATACACAAGTTTGCACATGAACATCACCAGTTCCACATGAGGAAGACAACTGGTTTGACACAATGCTCTATTTCAGAGCAAGAACTGGTTGCAGTTACACGCTGGTCCCCTGCATAGCTGGATTTAATTTTCAGCCCGTTTCTGTCAGATGAAGCAACAAACCTTTGTAACATCATGGAAACAGACACATCCTGTGTGCATCCCCTACCAGGACCATCATTTCTGGTGTCGTGAGGTTGTCCTGCGCAGGGCCAGGAGCTGGACTCACTGAGTGTCTTCCAAGTTATGATATTCTCCAATCCTATGACCAGGAGCACTTCCAGCCACCCACTCTGCTGTGCTGCAGCACCTCACTGCCATCACAGTCACCAGCAGTGACCATCAAGGCCCAATGACAGCTCTGACTGGCTGTTTGTGCCTCCACATACACGGACATGGGTCTGCCCCAGTGAACGGGCAGAGCAGGCACTGCTGCCAACCAGGCAGCTCTGTATTCCAGCCCTCGGGAAAAACGGAGAAACCCAAAGGAAGTCAAGGACACCTTAGGAGAGGAACAGAAAACAATGGGGAGCTATGCTGTGAGGGAAAGAGGCCAAGGAGCGGCATTACAGATGAATAACATGTGCAGTGTAATTAATCTAGATTAGTTTTATTTTATAGCATTAGCAGCCCGCAGCAGGCGGTGATCGGGTCCCGCGGGTTCCCAGCCTTCGCAGCGCCGGGCCGATCGCTGGGAGAGCTCCAGGCCGAGCATCAGCGCAGGAAGCGCTGCCGGTGACTCACCGGCTGCATGCTTGCTTGGACACTAATGAACTAATTCCGGCACTCCGGCCCTTTCCACGGCCCCCTTCCATTAATCTTCGGGTTAAAAAGTGCAGCAGTCGCTCAAGAGGGAAATTCCCACAGAGCAGAAGGATTTGTGGCGGGAGCCCCCTGTGCTGACCTCCTTGGCAGCCTCGCAGGGCCGAGAGCCCGGCTCCTGCTCCGGGCTCGGGAGCCGCGGGGATTTACGGCTCCGCCGCCGCCCCGGGAGGCTGCAGCGCCGGCCGGGCCGCGGCTCGGGATGCGGCTCCTTCTTCGGGCGCGAAATGCTGAAGCAGGATCTCGTCCTGCTGCCGGGGCAGCTCACAAACACATCTTTGTTCCCGTAAAATATTCCCCTTGGCATTTTGGGGCAGATTCCAACTTCTGCAATAGCAAGTTGCCCATCTGAAGTGCTTAGAGCCACCCTCACCTCCCTCCCAGCCTCCCCCCACACTCAAAATCTGGAGAGTTGGGGTTTTGCTTTCCCTAGATTACAAATTGCCACATGCTGTCCCATTACCAACAGGCTCTACTCCTAAAGGGCCCACGTACCAGTTGTGAGTAATAGAGATTTCCCAGCTTCAAAGAAACAAAGCACAGTTAAAAATTGTTTCTTAAAACTCCTGAGACTGAAGAGCTGCACAATGCCACAAACAGCAGGAGAGCAGGGGATGGTGGAGACAGGCTCTCTGTGAACAGAATTTGATCCGTGCTTCCCTTTTCATCCAGGACAGTCTGTATTTAACATTGTATCATCATGTGGAAAACACCTAAATAATTCCAGGGATGGCAGAGACCTGCAACCACAGACTTGGGGAATGGGACAACCAGTGCAACTGGGGACTGGGGGTCCAGTTACCACACAGCTACTTTACTCCATCCTTTATCTTTATTTTATATTTGTATTTCTTCAATATAATAGAATACAACTTATTTTACATAATGTATACAAACTATATCACAGTGCTTTACAGAGCAAAGCATGAATTACATGGTGAAAACCGGGAGAAAAGTGATACGGTCCTCTGCCAAGCCCCTTCTTTTCTCCCTGTTCCAGGAGACCTCCCAGGACACCCGAAATCTAGTGGGAATCTCCCACCTGACTAATTCCTGGCCCCAGGGTGAATTTGACTCATCACCACTGTGCTCTCCTCTCTCTGGAGCACTGGCAGGGCTGGTATCCCAAAGAGTTGTCACATTTAACCTCCTTATTCTTATCTTCTTTTTCTCACAAGACAAGCAGCCGCTCTTTCTTTTGAGCAACATAATTACTCTGAAAGTAATTACTGGAAACTGAGGGAAACCCCCCCATCATTCTTTTCTCCCAGGATAAGCTATTTTTCCAGAGCACATGGATGGCCCCAGATAAACCACTGAGTTTGGCAATGCTGTTTGCTGCACTTATGAAAGCAGTACATCCATCACAACTCCACAGTACCAGAGCCAGGGTGGGATGCAGACCTGGCTCCTCCAACAGACTCATTGCAGCTGCTTTATGAATACAGAAAACAGAAAGCACTCACCACTGGTGTTACAGGATACTGCAAATGACATTGGATTGATGGCTGCCAGGTCTCTGAGACGTAGGAAAGAGAGTACTCACTATGGGAAATGGGAAGGTTTTGGAAGCTGAGAGAGAGTGGGATCGTGGACAACAGGAGCTGAGGGTCACACACACAACAGAGAAATGGCAAGGACAGACAGAGGGAGAATGACCTTAATGCCAGATGAAAAGCTTTCAGATGGATCCCCAAAGGGATCCCTGCAGGAATCCTGAACACAACACGCACTCCTGTGAACGCATACACGTGTAGAAACAAAAGGAAAGTACTGGACACGGCTTCCCTCGGGCCCTGGGCTACTGCAGAACACCACATTGTGAAACAGGGCACTGTTTTAACACATACTTTTAATGAGTAATAAGAATAATAAACCACCCATTTTCCATTCTCTAACCTAATGGAATAAATGTAGAAATTCCCAGCATTTGTACAACAATGTCATGTCCAGAATGCTCAGGATCTCTTTCTGCAGCAGTAAAATGGAACACACCCATGGCAGAGCTGATGACAATGGGCAGAAAAAGAGCAAAGGCAGACACGTAGGAGTAAGTTTCCCTACAACACTTAAAATAGAAACATAGGTTAAAAATACATTTGATGAGTAGGAAAAAGTGAACAAGAAACCAAAGTTTTCCTAACTTCAGAGTCCAGTTCCTCTCCTAATCCCTTTTATTCCAGATCCACATCAATGAATCAGAATTTGACCTAAAAGCTTTGCAGCAGGAGAATTAGCCAAATGCTTGAATAAAATGTTGCTTATAAAAATCTATTTCCTTTTCTTAACAGCAAATTTTCCAACTGGGAAAAGAGTTTGAGGCCCACATGCTTTCTAAGTTTGGAGAATTAGACACTTCTCTCTTAAATCCCATATCTCATAATCTGGAAAAGATACAACTTTACACATCAAACTATTTTCCAGGAGAAACTCAGCAGGATATTTCCTTAAGCAGGAGGATTTCTCTACATCTAAATGATTCTTGAACAACCTCTTCATTTCTGACCACACATCCTGTAGTCATTGAAACACTTTGAGTGTGATGGGACTCTGCTGGCCCTGGTGGCTGTTTGGCATTCCAGAACTTCCTCCTGACCAGGACCTGGTGCATCTCCTGGGTCTCTCCTGGGCCCAGTGGCCAAGGGACAAACCTACCTTGGCTTCACTAAAAGGTCAAGTGCTACTCTGAGGTCACTCCAGTAGAAAAAATAAATACCCCAGACTCTGCCCACATAACTGCACTTACCAACAAAGTCCTAATACAACCTGACCAAAAAAACCCCACGTCCCTTTCACTTTCATAATTCATTGATATTATTTAGTTATAATCTCTGGAGCAGAGCAGCCATGGCTTGTTGAGCACACATGAATGAATCCTGTGCAGTGACCTCGCTCACAAAATAAACACATTGCCAGATCACACTGGCACAGGCAGGTGACCCACAGCTTACAAAGCTTTCAAGAACTAAGACTGAGGGGATAGAACTGGGTCCTACCTGACTAATTTTGCTCTTAATCACTGGAGGTACACAAGCTTTTATCTCTACTGATAAAGTTTGGGCATGATGCACAAGTGATAAAGATGGGAACTGTAATCTCAAACAGTAAAATAACAAAATGTTTATTAAATGAGTACTGGCTGGTGCATGTGAAGCTTCTTTTCCAGAGAAGGATATGACTATGATTAAAAACCATTTAAAGTCTAAATAGCACTTTGGTTACTATATTAAGGTCCTATTTTTTAGTCCATCAATCATCACTCTTGGCTCCGCTTTGAGCTGCAACCATTTTTCAGACCATGGAAAGGAGGTTGTATCTTCCCTACAAGCAAGCAGAAGACCATCAAGTTTAACTAACGATGGAAGCTTTGCCTGTGGGAAATATAATAATTTAAGTTTCCATATTGGTGGCACAACTGGAATATCTAAGTAATGGTGTGAGTGTTTTCTTGGACTAGTTTTAAGATTACTTAAAAGGAAACACTTTGAAGTTCTGGCAAAAATCAGAACTGGTAACTGGTGGTTTTATATCCTGCTGGGCCTTTCAGAAGCCATGGGCATACATTTAGAACAGCAATTAGGTCAAGCTTTTCTGTTGTTCCCAAGAAATGTAAAACCATTTTTTGAGAATTCTTCCTTCCCAAGAGAGAAAAAGGAGGCAGCTCTCCCTGCATCGCTGCTGACGTGCAGAGGGTGGCTTTACACAAAGCTCTGCAAGTGCAGCAGTGTGTGCTCCACTCTACCCAGAGCACACAACAAACCTGGGCAGCTGCAGCGAGCCCCTCCCTGGGCTGTGCACACACACAGCCTCCTCCTGCTTGTCCTGCTTCCCCTCTGCTCCAGCCACGGGAAAGTGTCCTGCAGGCTCCTCCAGGCAGCTTCCCTGCACCTCTGCCTGCGCCTTCTGTTCCAGCAGGAACACAGGGCCATGGTTCCAGGCAAGATGACAACACAGGCCTTCCCAAACTCCCCAGCACTGATGGCACTCTATTAAACTGCTTTTCCTGCCTGCCATATCCCACTCCCTCCACAGAGCAGTTAAAGACACATACGGCAAACTTCATCCACAAGTTATTTTGGTGGGTGAACAAGAGCTAAAGGGCAAGACACAATAAAAAGATAAATATCAAGAACCTAGCATGGCACCAGTTATCTTAGATTTGTCTCTTTGCTTTAGATAAAAAGGGGCAAAATATCAGGAACCTAGCATGGCACCAGTTATCTTAGATTTGTCTCTTTGCTTTACCCCCCTTGCTTTAATTGCATCGGTATTTTTTAATGAAATATTTATCACGTCTTACCAATAAAAACATTACTCATTTTTTTTTTTGCAGCAGAATACGTGGCACCGCAAAGCATAATTTCCTAGGATCTCATGCTCATGGCATGCTAAGTCACACTGATTCCTGTTCTAGGTGTGCAAATAGAGATGTGTCAAGTTTTGAGGGACACAGAGGATCCTAATAAATACACCCATGAAACAGCTGTTCCTCAGAAAGTGCTATAAGTAGACATAAGGAGTACTGAGATACTCTGGAAAAAATAAATTGTATCCTAAGGCAGTGATGCTTCAAACATGTGCTGAAGCCCATAAAAATAAGTTAAAGGCTGTGTTGACAGACAGGATGAAGGAAAAATCTGTTTCTGGGATTAGTAGTTACAAAAGGTCTTCCAGATCCTGGAGTAATCATAGGATGAAATTTCCAGATGGCTCACCAGGATCATAGTAAGACGAGGCAAGAAACATGCATCCCTAAAGTTACCAGGCACAGCAAATCTTCTGGATAAATGGTATCTCAAGGATACTCTTGAGAATCGTCACATGAAGGTGGCACCCAAAATCATCTCCAAATGAGGATCAGCTTGTCCCAAACTGGTCCAAATCTCCTCACCTTTCTGGAAGCAGGAGGAGTGAAAACTGCTTCTTGCTCTGCATGTGAGCCAGGCCGCCAGCCCTTGGTCCTGGCAGAGCCCCACCAGTGGGAGCACTCTGAGGATTGTTTGGGGCACTGCTGTAATGTGGCTCCAGTGAGGAACTGGTGTATGTTTGTGAGATGCCCCAAACCATCTCACTTCTGCCAGCTGGGTTCATCTGCTTTTATAAAGCTGCTGCTTTGAGAGGAGGGTGAAGACACTTGGTAAGTTCAAAACACAAAGTGCCATCCGGGAGTTACTGCTGGAACGCCAGAACACCTTCAGATGTGATCTTCATCAGGTTTAAGTGTGAAACTCGGGCATTAGAGCAACTGAAACCTGGCACGAGCCATGCAAAGCAAGCTGCTGAGCTCCCCCAAACTGCCTGGAGCCTTTGGCAGGGCCGGCCCGGGTGCTGCGGGTCCAGGAGCGCTCGCCCCGCTCCAGCCGGGCAGCGCCAGCGGGAAAAGGAAACTGCCAGAGGACAGAAACCAGGAGTCTGACCCAAGGGTTTGCTGAGCCAGCCTGGCTTAAAGCCAAGGAAAAGTGGCAACAGCTACTAGACAAGGAAGGCTGGGGAAATGCTGTTCTGCCCTGGTGCAATGCAACATTTGCCTTCATTCACGGAGGAAAGAATTCAGAGGACAGAAGGTTCTCTAGTTTAGGTGCCATTGGGCCATGGCACCTTCCAGTGTCCAACAGCACCTAACCCCAGCCTTTCCCATGACACGAGGCCAAGTTTGAAAGCAAACTCACTGGAAACAATCACTAATGCTTGCTAAACACTTGTTAATTTTTAAACAAACAAATAAAGCCAACTCAAAGAACTTTCAGCCTGCTGTCCCTGCCTGACCAGCACAGATGTAGTCACTTCCTGACAGCAAGAAGAGGCACAGAGACGTGTTCCTGCAGCAAGGCAGGTGCTAGGAAATGGGGAGCTTTTGTCTACTTCCCTCATGCTAATCCACTACAGGAGTAATTCTGTTCACTGAATATGACACAGAAAATCCAAGTGAGGAGAAACCAGGGTTTTCTCTCTCTGGGAAGCAGATCCATGCAGCTGGCACAGAGGTGGAGCCTGCCATCTGGGAAGCAGATCCATGCATTGCTGCACACGTGCAGCTGGCACAGAGGTGGAGCCTGCCAATCTGCACCCTTCCCTTTGGAGAGAGTGATTTCCCATTCAGGTACAAACCAGATGCAGGAACCCAGCCAGGCCAGTGCTCTTGGCTGCTCACAGAACATCTTCAAGGGCTGAATGACAAGCTGTGGAGCAGATGTTCACCCCTGGCAGCGACTCAGCCACACTGTGCTGTATGGCTTTGCTTTTTCAGCTCTGGCCAAAAAGGATGCACATTTCCCCATGCTGTGTGATGGAGAAGAGGCTGAACCTGGCTGTGGTGGTATTTTCTAACAGACATCAGCAAACTCCCCCAGTAGGAAACTGAGTGCTTTACTGACAGCTCAGCAATGCCCTGAACACCATCCCCTGGATGACTGACACTGAATCCAGGAACAAGGCAGCCCTTACCATCACTGGATGGGTCAGGCACCACTTACAAAAGGCTTTTGGAGAAGGGCAAAAGCAGATTTCTGGAGAAGCTGAAAGGGGACAAAAAAACCAGCTCTGCTGCTCTTCACACTCCCCAGCAGGCTGCAAGCACCACTTTTCAAATAGTTTAAAAGGAAAAAAAGTGATTAATTTTTGCTAATGCATGACAGCTTGAGCTGGAGTAAAGTAAGATTCACAGAATTTATCTGAGTCAGGATACAGCACCTTTCTTAAATATACACACTTGAAGGTGAATCACACTTGTCTCATCAGGACACTTCCTAAATTTGCTCTCCCGTAACTGTTTAGGGTTCCCGTTCTGCAATAGAAGATGATGTCACTGTTTACTTAAATAAAGGCAACAGTGCTCAGATCAGATCTAGGAAACCAGTCTCTTTCCTCTTAAAGTTATCAACCACGTCTACTTTCTTTCAAGGTTGGGGAGTGTAAGAAGTGGCCAGGGCATAAATAAAAGCACAGACAAAAAAAGGTGCAAAAATGACCCAAATCACATACTTGACACAGATTTCTTTTGTTCTTAGAAAACTGGCCACGTTAAAAGTGAAGTAGCTCTCATTGCTCTCACTCTGTCCACAGCAGGGAGATTAAACTTCTGCACAGGAGAGTTGCAACTGAAAAATATTGTCATTACACTGAGCACAAATAGGTTTCTCTTGAACATTGAGCATGCACGTGGCCTCCCCTCTCCCCCCAGCTTACATTTTATGAGATTTTTGACAGTCAGAGAAAACTCTCCTTCCATATGTTCAGGATGTTACGATTTCAACCTCTTTGCAGCAGGAAAATAAAGTCATCTTCTTTGCAGTGCCACAGCACTGAGCACACACAGAGCACTGAAACAGTAACGCATGAACTGATCTCTGCCATTGCGGGAAACTGCAGGGATCCGGAGCAGGTCTTGTTCCTGTCATGTCTGCAGATGCTCTGTTAAGGACTCCAGGGACATAGAGCAATTACTAGGGTTTGTTTCTGCTTTCCAGGAGCAGTTCTGTTTAGGAGAGAATAGAAAGGGATTATTTTCACCTTATAGTTTGGACTTACAGGGTGTGAACTGAATTTTTCTTCCCACAGAGAGACATCATGAACAACTCTTCCAACGCCCTGTAACGGGGCTGTTCCTTCTCAGCAGTGCCCAAAAGCCCAAGGGCTAACGAGGGTGACAGGCAGGGCCCAATTAGCAGCACAGGCATAGGGACAGTTGCCTTTAGGGCCACACACTGAGTCTAAAGGGTTTTTTCCTTTTGTTTTGGGGGCTTTGTTGGTTTGTGGGTTTTTTTGCTTTAAGGCTAGAAAGTTGACATCTGCTTCTGGTAAAATTAACAAACTATTTTATTTGTCAGTAATTGTAGATTGAAGCAGTACTGAGAACTGCATTGTCTGGGTCTGCAGCATCTTAGGAAGTATCAATGAAGCATTTTCCACTGGCATGTGTATAGAGAAAACAACATTTAAGTGAAGATAATTTTTTCCATATAGATTATGTACATTGTTATACACAAGTGAGAATTAGACAAAACAAAACTAGAACAAAGATTCTTTTAAGTTTTAAAAGGATCTTTGTCTCTCAGCCATAGGGATGGCTCAAGCCAAGCTCCATGGATGAGGCAACAAATGAGGCAACAGATGCATCAAAGGCATCTCACTCGTAGTACACAGTTTAGCCAAGGCAACACAGACCAGGGGATGTGCTGGCATCACTATCCTTGCTAGAGCAGAAAAGATGTTCCCAGCTCTTACCTTCTCCTGATGCAGCCAGGCTCAGGTGCACCCTCCACTGTGCCCTACACAAGTGCAGGCACTTGGGCCTCTGTGAAACACCGGGGCTCTGCCAGCCCTGCAGTGGCACTGTGCCCCCATGGCAGCGTACCCAGCTGCATTCTGCAGTGTGGTCTCCACCAAATCCCATCCTACCATGCTTCCTGCAGCTGCCACTGCCCAGACCAAAGACTTTGCTTCCTGGACACCTTAGTGACCAGAATGGTCTCCAGTTACAATCCCCTGGCAGCTGTTTTGTTGTTCACCTGCTCAATGCTGCAAACACAGCTCCAGGTCACCTCCCTGTTGCAATAGGCAGGAGAAATCATCTGCATTCGGGGCAAGGGAAGCCCATGGCTCTGGGACCTGGCTCTTATGGTGGAAGGTGCCCTGCAGGGGTGACAGGAAGCCTCGGGTCACAGCAGACCCACGGGTCAGTGCCAGGAAGGGGATAAGAATGGAGCAGGCTTCCCACGAGGTTCAGGCATAGGGCAGGAAGGCAGACATTGTCTGTGAGGCCCCTCTCCTGCCCAGTGTGTTAAACATTGAACAGCACCTTCCCTCTCACTGCCCCCAGGGTCACAGGGCAGCTCTCCCTGCCCGGGCTGGGGCTCTCCACCGCCACGCCGGCTCAGGGAGGCAGGCAGCAGACACCAGCAGAGGATGGGCATGCTCTTTCAAGGCTGGAAGAGTACTTTTCCCCCTCTGTGGTAAAACCCAGGAACATCCTTCCCTGACCCATTTGACCCTTCCCTTCCTGACGTGCCCCCTACCCCATGCCTCTCCCTTGCATTGTGTGGGAACATTCCCCAACATACGCTGTTTTCCCCTCACTTCCTTCCTCTCAAGACACCTGGACCTTCCTCCTGCAGGCTGCTGCCACCCCTCATGCTGATACAGGCCAGGTCAGGCTTCCCAGGCCACTGGTTTATAGTCCAGGAAACCGAAACAGCCTAAGAGCCAGCTCGGGGCTGCTGGGGTGACGTGCTCAGAGACACCACAGCCACCAGGGCTTTTGTGCTCTGAGGATGACAAATAATTTATTTCAGCAAAACCACCCTGACATACTTGAGGAAAAACAGAAGCAGCAACTACCAGCAAGGACACCCCCAAGAAGGCTGTAGGGGAAGTATCTTCCACCACAAAACATGTTTTGAAATGTATTTGAAATTTGTGATTTGAGTCTCAAGCTGTTAGTAGAAGATCCTTTCTTAAACGAGTCAGTTTTGCATGCATTAAGCAATGCAGCACAGAAACAAAAGAAAAAATCTACTCCAGCTTCAATGCCAGTTTAAAAGTTATTGGGAGACAGCCAATATATTTGGGGAAGGTTTTTAAAAACCCTCTTTCAAACTAAGATGCCTCATCAGAGATCTGTGCACACAGTACACATCACAAATGGAAACTCCAACTTCACCCTTCTAACACACTGAATTTTAAAAACTTAAAATACCATGATCTACATCTCTATCCTGTTAAAAATGCATTGAGGAGCACAAAGTTCATCCCACTAAAACAGAAAGTATGGATAAGTGGAGTTCCTTGCTCTGCTACACCCGCTTGTTCCTGCTCCATGAGCATTTGATTCAGGAATCCATGCAAACACAGCTTGGCTGGTGCATTCAATGTGCACTGTAAAGCAGAAACTGATCACAGAGTAGTCTGAGTTGGAAGGGATCCACATGGATCATCGAGTCTATCTCCTGAAGGACCCACACAGGGATCAAACCCACAACACCTTGGTGTAACTAGCACCTGCTCTGACCCTGACCTGTCCCAGAATCATTGCACAGTTGGACTGAAAGGGACCTTAAAGACCATTCCATTTCAGGGACAGGGACACCTGCCATTGGAGTAGGCCGCTCACAGCCCCATCCAGCCTGGCCTTGGATACTTCCAGGGATGGGACATCCACAGCTTCTCTGGACAACCTGTGCTAAGGCCTCACCACCCTCACAGGGAAGAATTTATTCCCAATATCCAGCCTCAGTTAACAAGACGCTGGAGTCCAGCCGAAAGCCAAGGCCACGGGGCAGAGCGGGGCACACGGAGGTGCAAAGGCAGGCCCTGCTGGGCTCGCACAGCCTCCTCAGTGGCACAGCCAGCTCTGGGCTCAGCTCTCCCACTCTGGGCACTGGCAGGCACCGAGGCAGGTGTCATCAGCTGTAAAGCAGAAGCCACAGCACAGCAACCACCTCAGCCTGGGGCTGCAGGGGAAAGCAGGGGCTCTCCCTGCAGGGAAGCAGGGCCGCTGTGTGTGCCGGGGTGTGCAGCCACCAGGCACAGCCGTGGGCAGAGCCCAGCTGACCCTGAGACCCCCACAAACACAGAGCTGAGCCTGCGCTGCTTCTGGGCAGGGGAGATTCCTGCATGCAAGGCTGGGCAGCCACAGACGCCTGAAGGACTGGCCTCTCCCACACTTCAGCGAGCTCCTTTTTATGGATTTCAGCTTGCACTATGAGAAGCAGGAAGAGCGAAGTGGCGGTGTCCCAGGCGGGGCTAACAGGATGTGACTCTGCCCTGACTCATCCTCCTGCTCCTCGAGGGGAGATGGCTGCTCACACCTGGTCACGGACACCTCTGGCCACATCAGCAGCACAAATCCACTGCTCCCCAAACTTGCACTTCAGAGGCTGCAGGAAGCAACCTCCGCATCACACAGTTAGAACTTTATCTTTTCAGAGGATCTTCACAACCAAAAGGACTGAAGACTACCAAAATGCACTCAAAATCTAAAGAATAATACAGCAGTTTTCTAAGGAAGTGTCTGAGCTAGCAGGATTGCACTGAGGTCTGAAGTCCAAGAAATTAAAACATTAAGCCACACAGCTGCAGAATATGACTAAATACACAATTATAGTTCTCTATTTTACAGCTGAAAACTTACCACATTTGAATAATCTCCAGTGAAATGTATTTCATGGGAACTGGAAACAATTTGCATTAAATGGACCAAATGAACACCACTGTTAGTGAGTCCACGTGCACACGAGCAGAACTGAGGTGCCTCAGATGAGGATTGTCTCTGCCAATACTGGGGCTCATCTTCCATGCTGACAAACTTACAACAAAGATTTCCCTGATACATTTCCCTGCCCATCTAAGGCAGTCAGTCAGTAGCAGGGATGTCTCACAGACTTGCATTCCAAGCAGATGCAACATCCTACACATCTGACAAAGCAATTCAGTTCTCACCAAAGAAACATCCCACAAGTGCTCATTCAGATGGAATTATTCCAGTATTTGTTTTTCAATTACTGGAAGAAACATCACTGTGGGGTAAATGATTTTTTACCACTCTCTAGATTTCAAATGAGACACACCATATAAGACACCAGAAGTTTTTTGGTATTTATCCACTAAGCATCCTCCTGAACAGGGACATGATGTGCTAAGGTACACCCTCACTCGCTGCAAAAGCAATCATGTAAAGTAGTAATAAGGGAGATTGTTAATATTTAATGTTAATATTTATAATATGTTAATATTGATTTATTTATGATTGGGACATAATTCTTCTAAAGAAGACTTTCAGTTCAGGGAAGTCTGCAGGGGAAGGATGTACTATTGCTGTAGCATGCAGCACAGGCACACCAACACCTGGCCAACCCAAGGCTGGAAGTGCAATTAAAAAATGACAGTGAAATTGCTGCAGGCTGTCTTTGCTTATGTGCCACTGCAATAATTACAAAGTGGGGAAAAAAAAAAAAAAGAACAATAAATGTCTCACAATAGCCAGCTACAGTTGGATTCCAGTCAGGCTCTGCAACAGAAGAACTGCAAGTCAGATGTGGCTGCTACACTTACAACAGAAACACCAAATACCTTGAATATCACACCTAGTGAGCCTGGAGTATTGACACTGAGCCTTTAAAAATGAGCAAACTTTATCACCACCTTTCACCTGTAGCACAACTCAGAAATAAACTCATTCAGGGTCTAAGGAAGAGCGCTCTGTGCCGGTGTTGGGAGACAGGAATTCAAGGCAAACTTGTAACACATCAAGTGCTACCAGCAACGTCCCAGGACGAGCAGCAGATAGATTTATCACCTTTTGAGGCTTCCTCCCCTCCCCAACCATCTATTGCATTTGGAAGAATGTTTTAATGCCAACTCTGACTTTTAACTTTTTAAATTGAAAAATACAAGAGATAAGTTACCTGGGTCTTACACCAGGACTTACTGCTTGCCTGGAGTGAAACCATGTGTACTTAAACTGCACCCTGGGGTGGATCCAAACCACACAGTCTCCAAACAGGGAGGAGACTTTCCTTCCTCAAACTTGCTGAAAATTATGTGAGTGACTCATTGAATGTCCTTTTCTTGAGTCAGCACTGAAACAGAACTCCAGAATTCCCTCTTATTTACAGTAGAGATAAAATACTGTAGGATTGTTGGTCTTTCTTACAGGATGATCAGTGACTGATGCCCTGAGGATGTCTCACCACTAAACCCAGAAACTCTTGCACAAACCAAGGCTGCATTCCTACCCAGTGCTCCAGCCCTTCTCTCCCTGGGTTCAGACCTGTTGGAGCCCAGCTTCACCATGTCACACAGAGGGAAGGTCATGTGGCTGCAAATCCCATTTGCACAAAATAAACAGGTAAATAGATTCCAACTTTGAAATCAGTTTTAATAGATTCATTAATTAGTAACTTGTCTTCTATCGCAGTAAAGCAGAGTGTAGCAGGTTCAGAAGTTGGGGAGTGCTGAAATTTGGAGTTAGGCTGAATGAAAGACTATGTACAATACAAATCAGCTTTCTGTTGTGATGTAAATTTATTCTCATAATTTTTACCATTTATTCATCCCAAAAGACATATTGCATATTTGGAACATTTTTAAAGTAAGAGCCACTGTATTCAAGACAAGAAGTAGTTTTGTCACATCAAAACTGATGACATACTCAATAAAATTATTTTCCAGAGCAAGAACTCCTTACAAGAAATATAAATAGAATATAAACTTCATAAATGATCTAGCATGAAAAGATTAAAATAGCAAATTCATTCCATACTGAAGGCAGTACTTTACCATAGTGTGTGCGCGGTGTTTCTCAAAAAAAAAATCCATGTCCCACCAGTGGGAACTGAAACAAATACAAGTAAGCTTTTGTTACATTTTATTCCAATAGAACAGAAAGATGACTTCACTCTTTTGTCTCAGTTTACTGACTAACACGATCAGGTAATAAAACATTGCTTTTAGTTTAACCCAGGCTTTGGATTTGCTCACCAGACACGATGAAGGGATGACAAACTTTGGCAGCACATTGGCATTTTCAGTCTCACCTGACATAACAGAGGAACTACCTCTCCCTGCCAACATCTCAATCCCCACAGCTGAGAACCACTTGCCCACCAATCTCAATTACACCCCCACTCTCTCTCGTGGCTGCAGAACACCAGTGACCACGTCCTGCTCCACCACATGCAAGCGCCATCCCAGAACAGCACGGACACACATCCACATCCCTCAGTGCCTTGGAGTGAGACACAACAGCTCTGGGAATGATGCCCACTGAGCACACTGAGAAACTCAGCCACCTGAACAACCTCAAATTTGAAGTGCTTGGAGAGGGAGGTGTCAGAAATGTGCAAACAACATGATGGGGCTGAGGGAAGACAGTAAAATGTCTGATCCTGGGAAAAGGACTGGCTTTGCTTCACTCTAAGATGTAAGCAAATCATAGAACAATCTACAGGAAGCAGTCAGCAAAAGATTCAAGAATGTAAAATAATTCATACCTGTCAAAGCATTTAGAAAATTGCCCTTTTCAAAGTTTTCTAAAAAATGGGTTTATTAGTGTTATTAAACCAAGACTTCTGTAAATCATGATATTCCAATAAAAGTGATGGCTACACTACTATCACTGTTAACTAATAAAGTAGAACAGCTGTCAGTTTGTAAAAACTAAATGAAGGAATTATTCTATGAATATTTTCCCTACTGTCCTTCAGGGATCAGTTTTTCTCTCACTACTGTTCAAAAGTGTATGATCAATAGTCTAGAATAAAGCTTCAGGAGTCATCCCTACGAAACCTAAAGGGAATAAAACCTTCAGTGCTGTGCTGAACAGCAATGGGAACAGGCTGCTGCTTGGGCCTGCTGCCTGCAGTGGTTTTTACCAAACAATACTGCAAAGTCAGATACCACAGGGTGCACCTCATGCCGGGGTGATGTGAGGAGTACCGTGATTTGATTGACAAGGTTAAATCTAGAAGCTAGAAGTCAGTGAACCCCCCAAAAAAAAAGTTCTGGTGGAAAATCAAGTAAGAATACCAAGCAGGATATAAAGCTTATTGTCTATTCATATAATGTTAGTATGGTAATAACTGTAAGGACATGTTCTGTTCTGGCAACTACTCTTCAAAAGATAACATTTGGAAAATTAAAATTTGTTTAAAAAGCTGACAACAAAAACTAGGGGGATGAAGAAAAAAAATTAAAAATTCATTCACATAAAGTAGGATTGGAAGGTATGATCATGGTATGTCAAATCCCTAGATCAGAACAAGATTTGCAGCAAAAGAACATCCTCCAAGAGAGCTGTACTGGAGTTCCACCAAAGCAAGATGAACTCAAACACAGGGCTGGGGATTGCTTTGGGCTTTTTTCTGAGAGAAGAGTAGTTTCTCACGTACCTTATCTACAGAGGCAACTGATCCTTCTCCTGAAGTTCTCAAAGCAAGAATTCTTTTTTTCTAACAAATGCTGAACTTCTTGACATTCTGCTGCTGCTGCTGAAATCACACTGAAGTTTTATGATTGGGATATCCAGATTAATAATCAGATGAGTTCCCCTTACCTTTACAAATGGGAACTTGAGCCTGTAATGAAAACCTGTGTTTCAATTGCTGATTTACCTTCTACTGCTGGGAGCCCTTAGTCAGACACTGGTAGCACCCAGCTTTTAAGCAGGAATGGGTGCAGCTCCTCTCTTCAAGCAGAAGAACTTGGCTCTGGTTGGACAAACCTCTGCTCACTTTCAGCAAGTTTGTACAAAGTAAAAACCCAGAAAATAATCCCGTATGCTGCAGCCAATTCCCCACCAGAGGAGAAAGAGGAATTCTGTGTTCATAAGCATGTGCAAAGAGGGAGTGGGATGAGCAAAACAGCTGGATCTGGGGAATTCAATGCAGCTGTTTGCAGAAAGCAATCACTCTTCAAACAGACCCAGAGGTATATGCAAGAGAGAAGGAAAGAATATGGCTTCTAATTCTGTTATATGATCAATTGCTATTACTAATAGGAGACTCAAATAGGAGACTCAAACTTTTGAGGCAGTTGCTAATGAAACACTAATGGTGGATGAGCAGCCAGAGGGGAAAAAAGGCCCCTGGTGAAACTTGGCCAGCCCCACTTGCAGAGCCAGTGCAAAGGACAGTGGCTTCCCAAAAGCCATAGTGGTGACCTGGTGTTTTAGAGCACTCAGATGCTGCTGGTGGAATGAATTTGGCAGTGGATTTGTCATGGAAAAGATTCAAGCCAAAGAAATGATTCTTGCAAGTGGCAGAACCCTATGGATTAAGGCAGGAGACATTCAAAATCTTACATAAAGCACACAAATCTGGAACAGGTAACATACTTCAGAAGACTTGATTAGAAAAATAACTTAGGGATATACCCCAAAAATACATGCACAGGTGATTGATTACCTTTGCTTCAGCTATCAGTTATCTGATACTAATTCTCACTGTTTTATGAGAACTCTTGCAATAGATTGTGCAGGCTCACAATTCCACATTTAGCACCAAAAAATCCAGACATTCTGCAAAAAGGATGAGGCAAAGACTCTGGAAGAACGCATTTAATTCAGCTATAAGGAACAGGAAAATCACACTATATTTTTCACATATTTGTATTTTTAAATAAAAGGCCTGATACTGTTGTCCCCACGTAGGTAAATTCTTTTAGAATTTAAAAAAGGTGCCTCACTCAAGACACCAGGACAAATCTGAAGAAGTGTTCAGATATTCTAAGACTGATACTAAATCTTCCAAATTGAACTAGCAACTGATAAAACAACTCTCTAACTTTGCTACTATGAGGAACCTTTTTAAAACCTTGAACTTCAGTGCAAGCTCAGAGCACTTGTTTTACAAGTGGAGCATCTCACATGTGTGAAAAGCTGCTTGGTATAGTAACTCCAAGGCTTAGCTAATCAAGCCTAGCAGAAGAAAGAACCTAAATATGAATGTAAAAGAGCTCACACATTCACCATGAAAAAAAAACCCAATAAAAACCCAGAAAGATTTGTGCAAGGAATCCTTGCAAAATAACTCCACTTGGTGTTTTAGTATCAAAGCACTGAAGAACAGCACCTTCCCAGTTACCCAACCCTTCTCCAGGGATTCTCACAACAGAAGAGTGAACTGTGCATTTTAGCTCATTCCTCATCATTTTGAGCATGCAAATGTCAAGAACTCCTGGAAAAGGCACTGTATTAGGGAACCACAGGTATATCTGTAAGCACAAGCCCCCATGCAATGTGTACTATGCACCTGTGTATAGAGTATAAATATGCATACATGCATGTCAGGAAATTAGAAATATTTCTCCTTTAATACAACCATGTTCAGCCTCAAACTGCAGCTCTCTGACGTGCTAAAGATTTTGGAAAACACAATATTTGTCTTCAAAACAAGGACAACTGAAGGCCCAGGCAGAGCTGCTGTGGTGCAGGGCCCCCCCAGGTGCCCCCAGGGAATGTGGCACCTTCCCTGCTTCCAGGGCTCTGGGAGGGACCCCCACCTCCTCAGGCTACCTGCAGGGAGGAGGGGAGGGAATGCACTGCAAAAGACACAGCTGACACAGGGACACACAGGGAGTTAGAGATGCTCAAGAGGTGAGGAGGCAGCATCAGGCTCCCTTCCCCCAGCAGGGCTTTCCTCTATTGCCCAGGACCTGCAGCCACTGCTGCTCCCAAATCACCACCCCTGCCACGGGCACATCCACCCTGCAGCTCCAGCACCTCTTCCTCCTCCACGGCAATGCGCTCCCAAGCCTTCCATCACTCTCCTACCCCACTTCCTTCTGAACACCACAGACAGAGGGATCAGCTAGACCAAAACTTAAACCAGCACAAATGTGAAAGAAAAGGTAAAAAAAAAAAAAGTCTTTTGTTCTCACTGGACATGCTGCAGACATTGTGCCTAGTAACTGTGGCAATATCTAGTGCAAAAGAAACTTAGCATGAATCTCTTGTTTTCAAATGACATTCAACTCAAACATGCATAGGGAGAGTAAAGTTATTTTATTAAATCATGCACATCACGTGTGTTAGTGCAAATAGTTTAATCTGTACTCCAGAAATTCTATTGTATTTTTATATCTTTACAAAATAGATTTAAAACAATTAATTACTTAAAAAATGTAATTCTGAAGTTAAGCATTTCAGAACAATATTTGCAATAACCTATATACAAGAGGTACTAGGTACCACTGGCATACGAGTGTTCTGTGGTTGGGTGGCTTCCTGCAACTGAAAAGGATGAAAAGGATGAAATGAATGAACTAAATGACAATAGTTATTTTCTACAAGTCACTTGTGGACTATTTTCTCCAACTAATAATCCTCCCATTAGCAAATCCCATGTAACTTAAGATAGAACCTTTAATTAAATGACAATGACCCTTAAAACCTCACAAAGTAAATTATATACTAAATTTCTATTTAAATATTTAAGCTATCTGTTGATTGCCAAAACATTCTTTAAAGCCAATTGAATTGCTGAGATGACCTCCCTATTTTGAAGTTTCCTTTAGCAGAGCCATATTATTTACTTTACCATTCTTTAACATATTATTTAAGTCTTTAATAAACTTTTTTGACAGAACTGTTGAGCTGAACAAGACAACTACTGTCTACATTTAATTCAGCACTAACGACAGTGATTCCCACCAAAAGTCAGCAAATAGCAATAGTTATAGTACTTAGATAAAGAAAATAAACTTTGTAATGGGGACCACTGCATCATACTTACAGCCATGTGATAAGGAGCCACAAAATTTTACTACCAAATTAAAATCATCTTCACCTGACAATGTTTCATCAGGTATATGATTCCAATTCTGTAGTATTTTATGTATCTAGATTTTCTCAGCTATCACAGACGTACTGTAGCAGTTCTCTTAATAAAGTTACGTCCACAAAAGCTTATTCTAAAGAGCTTCTCCAGCTCAAGTCAGAAGGTATCAAATGACTGAAAAAATAAACTGATACATGTGATATGTGAGAAGGTATTCATACTTTTAAAGAATGTATCTCTTTAAATATATGAAATTTAATAAATTACATTCAAACTAAAGTTAACATAAGTTGAATCAATGCACTATGTCCATCATATGACCCAGTACTTGCTCCCAGAAACACCTTAGGTCACTCAAGAACACACACATGCTTGCACTCGCACACGCGCACACTAAAAACTTTAGGCTGGTCTTCACCATCAGTATCTCTATCTCTTTAAGGCTGGACATGAATTGTGTTTATTCCCAAAACCCATTAATAAAGCAATCCTTATGGAAGAAAAATATGCTTCCTTTGAAAGGCGTACTAAGAGAAGTTTTCTTAAGTCTTGTTCCCAACAGCTCAGTGACTAACAGCAAGTAAAATGATACACTAGTTTAAAAAAAAATAGATCATACTGAAAGGCACTGAGCACACTGCATCTGTTTCCCAAGTATCTGCAAGGTTACTTGGCTTGGATGTCCAAATCAGTATTTTCCTCTTAAGTCTATCAATCAGATTCTAAAGTCAGTGTCCACGACCCTAGTCATTATAAATAATTTGGTACCAAGAAGCCTGCTTTAGGCCACCATTATAGTATTCAGAACCCCAACATACTAATTTAAAACTTGCATGAAGTTGTAAGCAAAAATATTGCTCACAGAATGATGAATCACAATTTTATTCCCTCTTTATAGACAGATACATTTTATACAGTTTAAAGCAAATGACCCTACTGCTGTTCTCACGCAGAGCTGTGCTGTATTAAGAGGTAAAAAGGAAGAGAATTAATCTGTTTTCCCTCAGTATATGAATGTTGCCAGCTTCTAAAGGGAGGACGGTGTATGGATTCAACAACAGTTCTCATGGAGAAGCTCTGGTTAGGCCTGGGTACAGCACCACGGCTGTTACAGCAACCAAAGCTGCCATCACAGGCATCCAAGGCCATTGTCTCTGTGTGGAGAGAAAAAAGAAATCAATATCATATTTGTTCTAATTCATACTAATCAGTTTACCTCGAGGTTCCTGCAAGTGCTGAGTACCTGCTGCTGGCACCACTAGAGCGTTACCCAGGAGCCCTGCTGCAGGCTAGCCCTGACCTGGAGCACTGCAGCGAAGCCCGCTCCTCGAGCACAGGCAGCTCCGCAGCTCTTCGCGCGCTGGAGGACCCCGGGCAGCTCCGTGATTCCAGGTCTGTTACTGCACACACCTCACAGAAATCTGCCACCGAACGTGCCAAGGCTTCAGATGTTTAAAACATCGCTCATGCCAAGTCAAGGCTAGACAGAGGTTTATGCACATCTTTAACTTTTGACCGTTTAAATCCAGATCTGTGACTTCGTTTGTAGCAGATCCTAACAACACCGTTTTTAACAGACTGTCACAACATCGCATGACAACAATGGCATTTTAAGAGGAGGACACACTGATAGACAAGAGAAAATGCAAGCTGAGAGTTCAGAATACAAACCAACCACCTATTTCTTGTCTTTTTTTCCCCATCTTTCCATCAGTAATAGTGAGAAAAATTAAAGTGTTTAGAGCCAGAGAGGAATTTCTTAGTCCATAGATAGGAACCAAAGCTTGTTGAATTTTATTATTAGAGGCAAACTCTTCATTTTTCATAGTTAATTAAGCAATTAAGTTTTCTTACAAGCCCTAGCATCGCAGCATTGTGCAAAAGGCAGCCCATTTGCTAAAGACAAACTGAGACCGAGTTAGAAGAGGCACGTTCAAGCACCAGTTAGAACAAAATCCGTTGTTAGAATTAAAGAAATCACAGAGATGTTAAATGATTAGTGGATTGCTCAGCTCGTCAGTGTCAACAGAATGGCATATTAAATGAAGGGTTTGCTTCAGGTAAAGAAACACCTGTGAGCATTTCACCATGCACTATTTGATACAGAAATGGCACAAACAGGTGAGGGACAAACATACATTGACTGAACAGTAGTGCTTGTACCTTTCGCTACCACAATGGGCCGTAACACCAATACAGGAAAGCCAGGATTAGGCCGATGAATACGGCTGGGACGGGTTGTAATATGGAAGGCTAAAGAAGGGAAGGGATATTAAAAATCACTTTGTGCTATAAATCAATCAGGTAAAGATGATTTAGAGAGGGGAAAATAAGTCAGTAAGTTTTGTTTTAAGTGAAATGTATTAAAGACATCTAACACATTACAGCATTATCTAATCTGGTATACAAAGTTAGTACACCATTCTACTCAAATCAACAGGGTTGTTTAAAAATAAAGGGAAGTAAGCAGAAAATGTTCCAAGAAACCTCGTGTCACAACTTGGAATTTAGCACTTGAAAACAATATGAATGTTAAACTGATTTGCCTGTATCTTATTTATAGTTGGTTTTAGTTTTTCTAAGTAAGAGGAAATCCTATTTGGATTTCTTGAGAGATAGACTCACACCAAATATTGGATTTTTCAGCTATTTCTTCATTCCTTGCTAGTTAGCCTTTTCCATTTTCCATCACCAGCCTCTGGAAAAACAATCTTTTTTCCTCCATTAGTGAATCAATTACAATTATGCCCACAGGCAAACCCAGTAGTTCAGACATTTCTGTGAGATTGTAACGTGACTGTACAATCCACATTACTAAAAAGCAGAGAAGCACATTTCTATCAGAGATACCACGAAGCTCAGCATCTCTGCCAGGTCAGCAGCCTTGTGACCAAATGCAATTCTGCAAATTGATCAAATGCTGCAGTGAGGCAAACCAGCAGCTGGCCAGACTGCAGGGTTCATCCAGCTTACGGCCTCCTCAGAACCAGCCACGCTTTTTCTCAGCTGTGTTCTACTCATGGAAACTACTGCACATTCTGGATGGAACAGCCTCTCTCTGTGATATGAAAAATTAAAAGCAAAAATGGACCTAAATGCTTTTTAATCTGTCCTTGGAAGACATCTGCTTTCTCTGTATCCTACTCTATATATTTGTGCACACACAAAGACACACAGAGGTTAAGGTCAAACCATGCCAAATATTTTTAAAACTGTTTGTGCTGAAGCTACCTTGATTTTGTTCAGTCAAATAAATAAATGATAAATTTATGCTTAACTTTTCTAAAACATTGTGATTAGTAAGTAAAATCTCATCCTGTTATGAATTTGTAGAAATCACTAATTCATAGAACCTCCAATATGGTTCAAAATACAGGAATATTAGAAGGTATTCTAGTCTTGTTCAATTAATTTTTTTTCAATCAAGGCAAATACTTAACAGAAAAATTCTGTGTAACTACTGAAGACTTTTTCATGCAAGATTATTTTTGTGTCACGGGTGCCACGAATCACAGTGCCACCTTCCCACAGAAAGCCTGTTGGCAGAAATAATCACAGCAGTGTTCAAAAAGTGCCAGAGGTTTAAATCAACCAGAGCAGCTGATGTTCTCAAACCATTCACATCATTAAATCTGTTGTGTAAAGCGCATCAGGAAGTAACCAGTGGCTACAAGCATGCAAACACAAGTGGAACACCACACCGCTAAGCATTTCAAAAACACAGCACTGCAATCTTTTTTAAAAGTAAAACTTAAATATTAAAACTTAACACTTAATTGATATCCCAAATGGAGTACAGAAGCCTTGTGCTTTCTAACATTTGATGATTCACTGAACAATTCTATAGATATCTTTTTGTACGTTATACACATCCTTGGCAAATGAAACCAATGATCAATATCCATCACATTCAATGAGAGCACCTCCAAATTATTAGATTTTCCCTTCACAAACTTATCAATACATAACAAATCTCCCTATTGTCAAAGCATTTAACTACGTGCTTCAATAAAATTGTGCATCTTTTTTTAGAATATGAAGATATGCAAACTCAGACACAGATGGGCTGCAAAAAGCAACAAATCCCACAGTGGGAAGTCACTTTCTGTCCTCAGAAATGAAGTAGCAGATAATGATTCCAGCATAAAGGGGCAATGGTACTTGAAAAATTTGACCTTGGAACTCAGCCCAGTATCCATGATGTTTGAAACAATCCCCAAGATGGATATGTTTTACATTACTGACTGTGAGTAATGTTTGGTGAGCAGTGAGTTTGCCCTTATATGGAGGATGCTCTTCATCACACCCTGACCTCCAGGTTTCAACTGTCACAATTAACTCCTCTTCTGCAAGCAGATTTTGGCAACTGCTGTGGTTTCTGCTTTCACTTAAATACTCACCTCTAATTCTCCCTAAAATTTCCTTTCAGTTTTTCCACTTTCATCAGGTGCTCCAATTTCCTTCACAGTATTTCAAGCCTTTCCTTTTCCCCCTTTTCCACTGATCGTTTTGATTCTGAGATTAATGTTTTTAACAGAGAAGAAAATCTCACATTCACCATTATTTATTCAGTGTGATCTCTTCTATTAAAATGGGGTGGGGTTTCAGTGTGGTTGTTTTTGACTTCTGTTTTAAGTAAGTCAAGTAACTCAGCATTATTTGAGCACTGCATAAAAATCCTAAGCAAGGATCAGGTTCCAAGAGAATGATGAAATCATACTCCTGAAAATATATCTGAAAAAAGTGAGAAAGACTTTGAATTCTTTACAACTTTGACAGCTCCATGATGTTCAAGGTTTATATGCATACAAACTTTAGGCATCCAGCAGCCAGCTGATTTAGAGGATAGGATGTGTAAAACCTTCTTTGTAGTCAGAGAAACAGTTTGCTAAAGGCTGTTACAGAGCATTCATTATCCTCCTGTTTTGTATTGTGCATTACAGGAGCTTTCACCCTGCACTGGCCACAGAGGCCACAGTACAGGAAGGCAAAGCCAGCCCTCCCAGGGTAGTAAGGCACCTAAAATAAGGTATGACCACCTTATAATATGTCTGCCACACCCTTAATGTTTGGAAGATTTCAGAATCTCAGTAAAATAAAAAGTTGTTTCTAGCTGGCAACTCAGTTCTAATGATACAACCTCTCAAATAAATTGAAAACCAGAAAGCACTATTTCCATTAGTGAATAGCAAGGACAGTTCAGCTGTACTGCTTCAAGTGTGAGCCCACCAGAAGTAACCATGGTTAAGAAGCATAAGCAAGAGTGAGGTGGGAACATCCATTGTAATCAATACTAATAAAATGAGAACAGCTTGAAAAGGTTTACTAAATTCATTTGCATACAGGTTTGTCAGCTATTACCCCTGCATCATTTTTTGAAATCAGAAAATTTGACTTTTTTCTGGTTCACTAGTCTTTAAGCCACATATTCTCAAGAGAGCAGGTATCTAAGGCCATACTTAAAACTGTCAAGCCACTGTCAATTTAACTTTCATGTGTAATTGTAACAGTGTAACGATCTGCAGATCTGCACAGGTAGGACCAGAATGGAATTTTGTGTAACATGGTACCCAGCTTTTTTCTTTACAAGTCCATCCTTTTCTATTTGACTCTTCCATATTCCTTCAATCAACAGGATTGCCAGTGTCATAACCTGACTTCCCCACACGTTTGGTACAGACTTACATTGTTTCCTTTTTCTTGTAGCAGCTTCAGGTTTTCTTTACATTGTTTGAGCTCCTCGGTGAGTGACTGGTTTTGTTGTTCAGCCACCTCATACTTTGCCTTCAGCTCCGAGAGCACAGTCTGTGTTCTTTCATACTAAAGACAAAGAGAGAACAATCTGTGGACCCCTGGATACCCAGCACATGCTGACATCTGCTTAGCACACAGCTCCCTTTGCTGTCATCTGCCTAGACTAACTCGCCTTGCATCAGTGCACACTCTCTTCTCATAAAAGCAGGGTGGAATTTAGATTTCCTTTTTTTCTAAATTAAAATTTTTTGCCCAGCTTGGCAGGGCTAGGACCACTAACCCCAAAGAAATGCAAAACCTTAATTAATCTCTCATGCCAATTATTCATTCCCATATTGGAAAGGACTGTAAAAACTACAGAGATGAAACAAGAAATAGGGGAACAAGGAGTCCTTCACATTTGAATAGTGGTCTAGCCATCCAGGCTGCAGCTTACATACCTACACCCCTCTAATAGGTGCAAAATTCAACACTCTGTATGAAGTAAATCAAACCCTCTTCCCACACAGCAAATTCAAACCTAAGAGCAAGGCAGGCATTAAAAAAATATTATGCCTTGTTACTGCCATAATCCTCAGTGTGGGTCAAGTACAAACAGTACTGGGTGAATATGACATGTTCCTACAGAATAGGTAGCTTGTCCTTTTCCAAACCCACATTGCATTTTTTCTATTCTAGCAGTCCTCCTGACTGGGCTTAATAAGGACAGAAACAATGACCTTCAGTACTGGCATTCACCACAAATTTAGAAGATGAGACATCTTTACAAATACTGATCTGATTACAAAACAGAGATTAAGACAACTGGGATTTTCAGATTCTGAGAACTGTAAGGAATGTGACATGGATGAATTAACCATGGAGTAAACAAAAGGACTGCAAAAGAAACTAAGAGCAGTGACTGGGGAAACATTCAAAACGTTCATAAGAGGAAGCAAGTAAGTGTGGGAGACTGTGACCTTCTTCCAGACATAATCTTTAGAGGCCAGGCAGATTAAATACATGCTCAGAATGCTCACTCTTCCTTATGCACTTACAAATCTTAAGATAAAAGATCTTTGTAAAGAATATGTAGTCCCACTGCCAAATAAAAGAGTTCAAATCTAACTGGGAAGATTAGACTGAAAATTAACTTTGACTCATAACAGCTAAAGAAAGTGGCCCATGATGTTCATGAAGACTCTGAATAATGATTTACCTGTCTGAATCTTAAAAGTAAATTCACTACAGCAATCCATGTAAATAAAGTTTAGGATGTTCTCAAAGAACATGCCTATTCACCTGAAGTCTTCTCTTTCAGATCTGACTCCCAGTTTGTATTTTCACAGCTACCATTTAAACTGCTTGCAATAAACACATGAAAAAAATTATTTACTAGGGAAAAGCAAAGAATTAAAAATCCCTTTTCTTTTAGCTTAAACAGGTCAGTCACTGGGCATTACATTCTTGCCAAATGGAAATACTTCATGTTACCTCTTTCTGAAAATCTTTTGCTTGACTTTCAGCTTCACTGAGTTGAGTTTTCAGACTGGCTGCATCCCGTTGATGTTTTTCTTTCAAAGATCCCATCTGATTTTCAAGTTCCTTCCGAGACATTTCAAGAACACTTATATCGCTGGTTAGTGCTAAACTCTGCTTCTGAGAGCTGAAAAACAAATTCCAATTGATTCCTTATGCATTTTAAATTTACACAAATTGCCACTTTTCACCCTTGAAAGCCTAACACATGGGTTTTGATGTGTAAGTATCAGCTTAGAGTAATCACAGAAACACAGACCATTATTGCCTCCCTAGACAGAGTGCTGACACAAAAGGCTGGCCATGGTCTTGCTTTTAAATATATGTCCACAGCATGCTATGTATAATCAATATTTAGTATCTCCTTTGGGAGGAAAAACCACCAGCAGCAAAACTCTTCAGCTGCTGTGGTACCCCCTAGACAACCTTTGTGTCCTTACCTAGAAAGCTCCTTCTCTTGTCGCTGAAGTTCAGATGTAAGTGAAGTATTTTCCTTCCTTAGTTTAACACATTCAGCTTCCAGAGCAATCCACTCTGCCTTCAACTTTTCAAGTTCATCTGCAATGAATAAGTTAATTCAATTAAGTAAAATTATTTCATGACTGCTTCAAGGAACACCAGCTAATAAATGGAGGAAAAGCTGGTATCAGCCATAAATCTCAAATATACTTGTTTGCAATCATGTCACATGAATTCTCTCATGAGCACCTGCAAAACACTACATTATCTTCTACTGTTATGAGGTTTATGACCAGTGCCAGACAAGTTACTTTTTTTCATTAAAGTTTTTTCTAAGGTACAAAGAAGCAGAAAAAAGTCTTTTTATGGGTCAACTCTAGCATTTTAGAAACAGTGGTAGAAAAGCATATTTGAAGAAAATAATTTCCCAGGCTTGAAAATAGCAAGAGAATCACTCATACCATGCCTCTGTTACAAGGAAAAGAATGTTTAAGGCAATAAGCTTTAGTGACACTTTGGTAGAATTAAAAAGTCAGGAGCTCTCCCTTAACAGGCTTAAACTATAGAGAAGTTACACAAGTCCTCTTGGAAAATTTTTGGCAGTATGAATCCCTCAAACTGCAAAAGTTTTCCATGTTTTCTAAGTGGAATTACACTTGGTCTACTGATATCAAAGAGTACCTAAGTTAATTTAGGCATAATTGACAATAACTGTTTGATGAAGTTTGATGAACTGTTATTGACAATAACTGTTTGATGAAGTTTGATGAACTGTTATTGACAATAACTGTTTGATGAAGTTTGATGAACTGTTATTGACAATAACTGTTTGATGAAGTTTGATGAACTGTTATTGACAATAACTGTTTGATGAAGTTTGATAAACTGCTATTGAAAATAACTGTTTAATGAAGCACACAAAATGACTTTTGTAACACCACAAGCCCTGGTACATCCGCAGATACACACAGGTGTGTGTACACACACACACAGAGCAAATGCCTACAAAGGGACAGAGAAGCAGTGATGTGAGTAACTGCCATCCATCACAGTGAGCAGCATGCCCTGGCAGCCATGCCCTCTGACATCCTTTCAAGCAAGTACCTTTGAGGCGAGAGGCCTCTTCCCTCTGCTGTTACACTTGATCTACTGATATCAAAGAGTACCTAAGTTAATTTAGGCATAATTGACAATAACTGTTTGATGAAGTTTGATGAACTGTTATTGACAATAACTGTTTGATGAAGTTTGATAAACTGCTATTGAAAATAACTGTTTAATGAAGCACACAAAATGACTTTTGTAACACCACAAGCCGTGGTACATCCGCAGATACACACAGGTGTGTGTACACACACACACAGAGCAAATGCCTACAAAGGGACAGAGAAGCAGTGATGTGAGTAACTGCCATCCATCACAGTGAGCAGCATGCCCTGGCAGCCATGCCCTCTGACATCCTTTCAAGCAAGTACCTTTGAGGCGAGAGGCCTCTTCCCTCTGCTGCTCCTCGCACTGCTGGCATTTGAGCCGGAAGCTGGACTGCAGAGTGACAATTTCTTTTTCATAATCCGAGGCATCTTTCCTCCACCGGTCAAGCTCCGCTCGCACCGTCTGCAGCTCAGCTTGCAAGGTAGAAATATCTGTGTCTCGTTCTGAGGCTGCTTTTTCTGCTACTTTTTGAAGTGACAGAATCTCATTTTGAGCACTGACTAGTTCATTTCGAGTGGTTGAAATTTCATTCTCCTTCTCCTTGCGAAGATTCTCAATTTCTTCTTGCAACCTTCGCAACTGAGCTGGAAAGCAGAGATTCATGTTAATATTTTCTCAAACTGTATTTACAAAAAACCTAAAAACCCATACCTCCCTTTCTCAACACACTGATATTTAACAGGATTAAAGAAGCCTAATGCAATTGAAAAAATATATGTACCCTGTCAAATGCTTTACCTTTAAAGAGGCAAGTATGTGGGCCATGTAATACATAGAGTCAAAAGAAACAAAAATTATGTCTGGACAAAGCTTTCTTAGCCAAGGCTGTGCTGTGTGTGTGAGACCAAAGCAACTTTCCAAAATCTGAAAACAAGATTTAGATCCAACATCACTGTAAGCAAAACAAGTATTAGAGGACAAGGACATTGGAGCTTTCAGGGAAAAGAGGAAAAGCAAGAAAGCTTCTGTCACAGGCCAAACATTTGCAAAGCTACACTGGAAATGCCTGCCTGTTCAGCAGTTAACTTGTGATGTCTGTAAGTATTTGAGACAGAATAATTTCTACTCTGTTCTCAACATGCAGAAGAGGAAATAGACATTATTTCTTTGCAAAATCCATTTTTAAAAGCACAAGATGAATTTTAAATGGAAAGGGACAGCTGCACCATGTACACCGAGCTAGAAGAAGGTTCTTCAGTATTTTAAGCTTACTGTAAATGTGAAGCAGTCACATACACATGAGGCTACTTGACATTTCTGCACACAGCAAACCTCAAATTATTCCCATCTAAAATGCTTTCATTACTAAAGACATCTCTGAGCATAATTTTTCACATAAACATACACAAATAGAATCCAGTGCAAACAGTTAAAAAAAAAGTACAGTGCAGAGGAAAGGGAAGCATGAAAGAACAGGAGAACTACAGTTATAACACTGATGGGAGCAAAGTGTTTAATTTGCTGTTGTTCTATTTCACTTTCTTAAAAAAATGTATTTCACTGATTTCAACATGTAAAAAAGCAATTATTAAATTATTAAAAAATTACTCTGAGAAGAAAAGGTAAAATTCTTAAGATCACATGAAAAAATAATGTAACATACTGTGGAGGCTCAAAATTACAGATTTCAAGTTTTATGTTTGAGAACCAAAGGGCAAAACAAGGACAGTGAAAAGCATGGGGAGGATAACCAAGGCTGAGTAATCTTCCTAGGTTACTTGTATTTATTTTTGTCATCTCAATCCATTATAGAACATGACAGGAAGAATGTGAGTTAAGTCTTGCTGTAAACTGATAGAGCATCAGAGCTACTCAAAAGAGACCTGCACCTCCATGGCAATTATATTTGAGTTTTTCAGTAGCTCCATATGCAGCAATACAGAAAGAATTCATATACTGGTGCAACCTAGAAACTTTGTGGATGTAACATAGTTGATGTGCTATCAAGAAGAAAAATTCACCTTTTTTGTGCCCTCCTCTAAAAAGGCTCCAGCAAGGCATTTATCTCATTAAATACACTAAAGAACCTATGAATTACCCAATTCATACTTTGAAGGAAAAAGACACAATGGGAAAAAATACAGTAGTTCTTATATACTGTAATACATAAGAGCTATTATAGACAATAGTAAATTTATTTCATGGCAATTCTGTGTAAGATGAAACAGTCTATCTGTTCCAAAACAAAAACATTTGCAGCATAATGGATTTTGAAATAAAGATGAGCAAAATGAGGCTTACTACAACCTTGTTTGAAAATAATTTCTACAGGCTTATACTAACAGAAAGCAAACGAAGCAGTGGGTGAGAACAACCTGACAGCAGGAAAACACATGATGCATCAGCAATTCCCTTTCCATGCATCCTTACATTAGAAGCTTTGAACCTACCAAAACAGTATGGACTAAAACACAAAGAACTACAACTTGCTAATACAGCAGGTGCCTGAGCAAAGGAATGCAAACCATATCTTCCTGATAGCATTTTCTTCATCAAGCCAAGCTAAACTCCTGCTTCTTGGTGCTGGCAGCATTTCAAAAAAACGTGATTTTTTTTTTTTATCCTGTGCATGCTGTTGATGAACAACTCTCCCTTTATATGTTCAGGCATGAAAACAAGCAGAGCCTTGGACTGAAAATCCAAAGACACACACGAGTTCTAAGTTACATGGAGTTGTAGAAATAACTTACACAGGAAAGTCACTACTAACAATATGGGAATGGTTTCTGAAGCATTGGATATAATTTGAGAGGACAATTAGAAAGAAAACTTCCATTACATCTCTCGTTTATGTAAGCCATTACCTCATCTAAATTGAATGCTTTGCTTCTTTCACTTTTTTTAAATAAGGAGCAACAAGTTACTTGAATTTCCTTGCTCTACCTATGTGTTCATCTAATGAACCTGACATGTAGAGACACCACCTCAGCTGCTTCTCTGGCACCTTCTCTTCTCCATCACAAACAAAGCCAACAACACTGGCTGGCCTAAAATACTGATTCCCTGAAAATACTTCTAGAAATGTTACTTCATGAAGCTGCCAGTTGTTTTTTTTTTTTCCTTCCCTGCAGTTCACAGGGGCTGCCAAGAGAATCCTGACAGCTTTTCCCTAACTGTGAGATGTGTCACACCCTAAAAGTTTGGGAAGCAGCAAAGCACACAGTGAACATCAGAACATTCTGAACTACAACAGGGAGAGGAGGAAACATTAGCAAGACCTCTCTGAGAAGCATCCAGAAAACAAAAAAAGTACTGAATTGAGAAGAGGAATCCTGCAATTAAGTTTGGCTCTGTCAAGTTTCTACTTTCATTCCCTTTTTTTAGGAAAAAAAATTTCCCTTTTTTTGTGCACAGAAATAGCTATCAAATATTTTCTATTTTTTGTTACAGCATTTACTACTTGGAGAATTCTCACTTTTCGCAAGATAACACTCAAAATTAAATTGCTCCTCTCGTTCTGAAGATGATCATTCTTTAAGCTTCTCTTTTGTACAAGAGCAATGACAGAAAATGTCAAGGTTCTCTGCTGACAGCCACATAAAACAGAGCTATTACAGAAGTTTTTCAGTGTAACTAGTACATGACAAGTACCATATTACCCAACAAACTACTGCCCAGAAAATAATTTTCTAGGGCTATTTTGACTTCCTAAGAAAGTCAGGACTGTCAGTCCACCTGCCTGTCTGCTCATCTGCCTTCCAGATATTTTTGGGTCCAAAGCAAATGATATGCAGACAAAGATCCCAAGGATGAAGCTCCAGAGTTTTGTAATAATCAGTGGCTGAGTAGCTCTTCAAACTAACACTTGCTCTAAGGAAATTACAATGTAACATAGCCTTTTTTGACATTAAGGCTGGACAGACTGACAGACTCTTGGCCAACGAGCTCACTCGCATGCATGGATGAGAAGTTAATGTGATACAGAACACCTGACTCAGAAGTTGTGTACATCAGTGGATTACATCCTGCTGTATGCATTTTGAGCTGAAAAGAGCATGATTGAGTATATAAATTTTCAAAAAGGCATGGACAGGGTCTCTGCTGCAGCAACTTTACTGCATGCTCTGATGCTGGATTTGGATCAGGATGAAAAATTTCTTTAAGAGGATCCTGTAAGGAAGTGAAGAGACTGACTAGCACAAGAACACCTATAGCTTTGAGTGCTCTGAAGGCAGTCTCATTTAGAACTGAGAAAGACTAAAGGGAGATGAAGAAGAGGTACCTATTACAGATTACATCTTCTGCATTTTTTAAATTACTATTACAACCATAGGAATTTAAAGGAAACATTACACAACAACATTCAAAGATATGGTGAAAGAAATCAGATTTAAAACATACACTCAACTAAACATTTTCCTTTCTTAGTGACTATGATGCCACAGAAACAGTTAAAATTATATAGCTTCTCTAACGAGTGGGGGAAAAAATTCCTACCTTGCAGAGCATTTATTTGCTTGTTGGATTCTTCAACTTGCACTCGATATGCTTTTCTCTCTTCTTCTAAGAGAGCTACAAATAAAAGTGAAAATGTGCCCAAGAGTTTTTGTTAGTAATATGAATTTCACCTTTAATTAATTTTAGTCACAATCTCTCCTTAAGTGAAAAGATTAGCCAAACATATTACTTCAGGAAGTTATCAAAGGTAGTAAAACTGTGTAAGTAGTTTAATAAAAGTTAATACTAGGACATCATTCCATTATTGTGGTAGTATTACAATTAATTTGAAATTCATATAATCTGTTGCCTGATCTGAAAACTCCGTGTGTGCTAAATGTAAACTGGTATGAGAGGAAGGAAAAAAAGAAAGGCTGTAAATATAACTCCTAATGAACACTGAACAATATGCAATTAAACTGAACTATACTATTTCCTCTTGAAAACAATAGAGCTACATAGCTGATAGGATGATCTAACAAAGAGCTACCACTGAAGACATTCAATTGCATCCATTAGCTAAATAAGCTAATAATAGCTTAAATAAGGATAGCTGAAATAAGGATGAAATATACTGAGTTCAAGTATGTATTCAATACTATGAAAAGATGTTGGTTTATCTTGAACTAGCTGATATATAGAATTTTCATGAATACCCTACAGAACCAAGTTGATCTGGGTCTCACCTTGAAGTTCAAAGCATTTTTGTTTACTTGTCCTAGCTAGCTCTTGGGCTTCAACCAGCTCCTTGTGCAGTTGCTGAATTTCTTGCTTAGCCTCAGTCTCTGATTGTGCACCCTGCAATTCATCTGATAAAAGAACATTTTCTTTGAATCATAAGTTTGTACAACAGCTTAATTTGCACTGCCATGTGCTGACTGGCAACTTTTTACACAAACCTTCAAAAGTTAGTTAAACTCAAAATTAGATTAGGCAAACATTAGCAAAAATATTAATGTACTTCTTGAAGTAGTAAAACATATGCAAACCTTAAATCATTCATTACACATAACATGCAATATAAAACAAAAATTAACAAGGAAGGATTAGAGAGTTTTAAAAAACACTGTATAAATTGGCAAGGATTTCTGCATTGACAAAAACAAGGAACAACAAAAGCCTAAGACAATCCTTGACTGTGTTTACAACTTGTCTCTTTTTAAAGGAAGCTCCTCTAAGCCTGTCTCAGTGCACAGGCTCAGGCAAGAGCTGCTGTTCCATGATTCACTACTGCCACCCACCCACTGCATTGCCAGGCTCAGCCTCCCTCTCTCCCTCTGGGGACCAACAAGGAAAGGAAAAGTTTAGGGAAATTTCCTAAAACAAAATTAAGAAAAAGAAGAGAAATTCCAACCTCCTTACGTCATTCAGTGGCCTTAGTGAATGCTAAGATAAATATTGCACTTGATTATTTTTTATAAACTATATCTTCAAACATTAGGTATGTCTTTAATATGATCATAAATCTAGGCACATTATTTAAACTCTAAATGAAAACATTTGCTCTTCCCCATAAGTTTTGTATTAGCTAAAACACGTATTAAATACCTCTTGGGCTTACAAGAGATCACTCACAGTCACAGACAAATAAAACACTTTTACAGCTGAAGTTTTGGAGGAATTTAAAAAAGGAAAACTAAGTATTTGTTACTAAGAGCAGTGTCCTCTAATGGGCACACATTTAGAAATTAGATACAGGAACACTCCAGCCTGCAGGCATCTGCAAAGCCAGGAACAGCATCCAGCAAACTCTCATTTACTAGATTTTCCTTAAGCTGTGCCTGTGCACAAACTCATCTTTCAGTAGACACAAACAGCACTAATAAACTCTATAGGTAGAGGGCTAAAGCTTGATATAAAGCTTATTTGGTGAGAAAGGTAAATTGGTGAAAGAATTCCAGCTGTGTATCATGGCAGAGGGTGGAAAAAGTTTACACAGTTACCTGGTCAATGTCTGCAACTACAGAACACATGGATTTAAGATAAATAGGCTTAGAAAAAAGAATAGTTTGTCTGGACTTTGCATTAATGTGGAAAAAAATAAAAAGAAACTATAGGCTTAGAAAAAAGAATACTTTAGTTTGTCTGGACTTTGCATTAATGTGGAAAAAAATAAAAAGAAACTAATTTAGCCCATCATTATACTTTTGACATTCTTATTTAGCTGTATATGTTATCAATAAAGTAATTATAGATTTTTTTCTTGCTCTAATTAACAAAATTGCTTAGCAAATCATGCTGAAGACTTCATACTGCATCACTCTAAGGGGCTGTTTTTGCTGCTCTCACAGTAATGAACTAGTGGGTTTGAGCAGAGCTGAGAACACACATGTGCTTTTAGACTTTTTCAGAATGAAATTATGAGAGCAGAAAGAACAGAGAGGACTACATATTTCATCCAAATACTTTGTTTTATGGTTTATTAGCTCTAAATCCAAGTTTCTCTTTACTGAACATGTTTTGTTCTTAGCTTCTCATGGATAAAGATTTAGGGCAATTAGACTTTCAACCCTCTTTAATGAGACTTTTCAGAAGAAATGGATGAGGAAGTTGACAAATTATGCTCAAATCATGCCTGATAAAGAGGCAGTGTCCCAAATCCAGCAACAGACACCCGAAATGAACTTTTATGGTGGCAGTGTTTTCTAGTCAATGAAAGCACACATCATAAAAGACAGTACTGCTTCAAAAGAGATGAGAGGTAAACTCTTTCCTACATCAACACAAAAGGGGAATTTCTGTGTGCCTGACATACTTCTAAATCAAAAGCCAAGAAATATAAGCACAAGAAATAGTTGCTTTTTAGTATTACCCAAACTGAAAATTAAGTGTCTTGTAGTTGAAAGCAAATATAGTTTTGGTGCTAATTCTAGTTTTGAAAAGTACTTCTTCAGTGAGTAGGATTGTCCATTTACAAACAATAAAACTACTAAATATCATCATCCTTCAAATGAATTCCCTTTAGAAGCAAATTCATATCACGACTAACTGTCCTCAGAGAAGGCTAAGGAGTTACCATTAATTACAACAAGGTGCCAGAAAGAATTAAATAAAAAACAAAAGGCCAAATACAGCATTTTTTCTTCCTCATTCATTTTTTCCACCTCATGGAAAATTTTAATCTGTGATCAGTTTGTTTGCCACACTTTAAGAAATGTTCTCAATTAATACCACTTTGTTTCCCACACAAATACAGTGAGGCTTCCATTAACATTGACTCTAATGGTAATTTTAAAATTGCTTTATAAACTTTTTTTAATAATTTTTTTTTTTTTAATAACAGAGATAATACAGAAGCCCACAGTCGTAACTGATGCTTTATCTGTATGTGCCTAGCCTATGGTAGCAACTTTATGAGCAACCTGGTATTTCTTCAAGCCTCACTTCTCAAAGGTCACATTCAGAATTTTGCAGGATTTCTCAGGTTACTCAGAAGACAATTTTCAGGGTACTCTGGTGAAGTCAGACACAACAATTACAACCCTGAGATTTTTTTTTAGCTTCATAAGATCCACATGTCATATATTTAAAGTAAAGTATCTGGTTATTCTGACATAAAACAATGGTTCCCAAACTTTCTGAGCTGACAGACCACTGCTGATATACAAAATTTCTTATGTAATTTACCACCATTTAGCAAATCCTCAGCTGAAACATTTCCTACTAAGATTCCATGGATCACTCTTTTAATTACTATGAAAACACAAGGACATGGGTAAGAACAAGATTACCAGTCTTCCAATGACATTTATTGCTCCTTTCCATCTGTTTAACATTTACCTGCCCTTAACTCTGCAATAAGTAGTCACAAACAGCCTGTTTAAACAGAAGTGTCCAGGGAACTGTTATGAATGGTTAATAAAGTCATTTACCTTGTGGGGGAAAAAACAAAGCCAACTAATCTGTCACAGCTTCCCCCCATCCCCTCCTTGCCAGATTCTGACTTGTAGAAACTTAAATCAAATCCTGAATGCAGTCAAAAATTTTGATGAAAATGTTTGGAGGAATCTACAGCAACCAGAAGTCTCATAATTTTCCTGTTCCACTAATTTGTTTTGTGAGTTTTAACAAGACCTCTGCCTTTTCCAGCAGCCGTTTCTGCATTCCAAACAGCCGCCAGATCAAAAATGTTCTCACTCCTCCTTAATTATATGGCTGCATAACAAGTCCACTTGAAAACCTTTCTGAGGCAAATCAGATCCATTTTAGGGCAAAATCAGGCACATGAAGTCGGTCTCTGAGAAAAAACTCAAATAAAACTGTGGGTTTATAGACTCTTCATAAAAATTAAAAGGGCAAATGATTCACTGCACAGATATTTTTTAATGGTTTTGTGAGAGCAAAATAGGGAGGCCCAAAAATAGCCTCAAGAGGAAAAGTTGCTGCCAACCTCTGTTTTATAACCAAAAATAAGACTATTATAATCACTACAAACATTATCAAATTGTACCTTCTAGCATAGCAAGTCACCGAACATACTTGTTATTAGCTGCAGATATTGGAGCAAACCCCAAAGGAAACGTGCCCAGTATCTCAAACACTCCTTTCTAAACTGCTTTGCTGAACTGATGTCCACTGGGAAACATCAAACTCAATATTATACATGTTGCCAAACAGCAAAAGTAATTTGTGCAATTTTTGGAAGCCTTTCTGTCGTAAAATTAGGGAGTGTAAACAATTGCAGAGAAAAGCTCTTTTACAGGTCTCCTACGTTCCGTTACGGTTTCCTTTTTTCCTGAGTCACAAAGAACTGTGACATTCTTTTACTTGCGATCCCAACAGGAACATAATTTTACAGATCTTATCAAATGTCTAATTGTTAAAGAAGCATAAAATGATTTTCAATAGACTAAATATAATAACTAATTACTATGCCACAGAAATCTTCAGCTAATGAATATGCAAATATCAGCTGGCTAATTAAGTATATCCCTTCAATGCATAAAAACCAATAAAAATGTTACGTTTATAGAAATGAAGCTCAAAGCTAAGCCTCAGCCATCATTCCAAGTACAGTTATAACACAAACTTCCAATCTTGATTGTGTTAAAAAGAAAATCCAAAATCTTATTTTGATTAACCCATCAGCTGCAAACTAACAGAAACATTTGACAGTGATCGAAGCTATGCAAGTAAAATTTGACAATGCTTGAAAAATGTCAGTGGTGGAGGAATCCCTCCTCTCCACAGCTATAATCTTAAAAGTGTGCTGACTGTAATTCTCAAGTCAAAGTTGTAACATGTAAATTCCTAGAACAGCGTTGGTGAGTTCAGAGATTACTTTTAGACACAGATGATTTCTATAGCAACACTCAGAAGTGTGTTTTTATATCACCCAAAGGAGTCATAACTGATATTTAACTCTTCCATACTACATGATTAACATCTTTGAATTCCAGCATTCTATTTTAACTATTTTTTATCATTTGATAACAATCAGGTAGACGAAAAGATTACATTTACAGATTATGCATCTAAAATTGCAAAAGTAAATTTGTTTACCTTTTAGAAGAGCTACTTTGACAATAGGTTCATTTAGATCTTGGTCATCCATTTGAGCATCTAAAAAAAAACCCCACACCTTTCAGAGAGCAGGCAGACTGCAGACAGTTCTCATATACACATTCTTTACATGGAGAGAAGATTTTATGTCCTTCTCAATTTACAAGAGTCAAATTATGAAGCCACAAAACAGACAACACCACTCTAAGCTTGTCTCTAACTCTGTATAATATACTCCATTCTTTTAAGAAATGCTCATGATTACCTAGATTTAATTCAAACTAATCAGAGGTTACAGAAATCTCAATTAAACTCTTACCTGTAGTGTCGTCGCTGCTTTTTTCCTTGCTTGGGCTAAGGGTGTCAGACAAATCGTTCGATTCTTTGACTCGTGCTTGGTTTTCTGCAAGAGACAAGGAAAAGCAACTACAATCAATAAATGCTTTGTTCATAATTTCTCCTGTACACCAAACTACTGCTATGTCAATAGAAAACAACTTGGTTTAAGAAACAGTTAAAAACCTGCTGGGTGCCTATTTCTTTGCAAGTCTGGGCTAAAATGGATTCCGCATCCCTGGAATCATTAACCCAGCCTAGCCTCTAATAAGGGATGCAATCGCCTCGTGCACAGCTTGAACTTGGGTTAATGCTGTGCTCTTGCCAGCTGGAACTGTAGAAAAGCTGATTCAATCAGCAAACAAATAAGAAAAGAAAAGTAGAACAATGCAGATACTGTAGCAAGTCAGAAAGAAACTGCTGTTAAGAATAAAACTGTGTTTCAGTATTTTGGACAAATTACATAATAACAAGCCTTGTACATACAGTACTGTTCAAAAGAAGTGTGGTGTGAACCATTAAAGAATCACAGCAGTATAAATTAATACATTTGTTTCTAGAAAGAATTTTCAGTTTAAATTATATTAAGAGAAACAGTATATGTTGTTGCCACAAAAAATTATCTTCATGAAATATCTGTTCATACATAATTCAGCACTTTATTACATGCAGCTTAGTGAAGCCACAGAGTTGTTTGGTTTTTGGTTTTTTTTTTTTTTTTGGTTTGTTTTTGGTTTTTTTTTTTGTTTTGTTTTTTTTGTTTGGTTTGCTGGATTTTTTATTGTTGAGTTTTTTTTTTCCCCCAGTTCTAGATTTTTAGTGGAGATCACATGTTTTCAAAATTAAGAGGATTTAATTACACCAGTGCTTGGTCCCACACAGAATCACCCCTGACTCAAAGTCTAAATATTCTACATGACTGAAATAAATTTTTAATTTTTTTTCTTAAATAACAATTACGGTTTAGTTCTGATAGGTCCATTAAAAAGGCCACACCACCTCTGGTGCAGGCTAACCCAGCAGGTCTGTCAGCAAGGAACCGTCACCAACGTGCAGGTGAGGTTACACAAAATGAAATCTTTCTTGGCTGCCTATTCAGAGCCTTGCTTTTGACAGCCCTGCTGCCCACCTGCAGGATAACACAGGTCTCCTCTGAGCCTCAAGTTCCAGGCAGAGACATTATATGAAAAGGGGTCAATACAGCATTCCCAGTACACAGACATCTCCCATCCATGGAGAAAAGCACAGGGAAAACAAATAATTTCACCACATACAGACAATGTGCATGCAGCAACGAAGTACCAGGACGTGGGAAGAAAGAAGCACATCAATAAATAAATTGTGTTATACAACAGGGTTAGTGCACGAAAATAAGTAAAAACCAAGGGAATAATAAGACATCTTTTCAAATAAAAAGAGAATACACAGAACTAACTTCCCCCAGAACAAAAGAAGCGGAAACTGGAGACAATCTGTGTGGCTGCACGAGGAAATCAACAGGACAGAACACGGACAGGTTAACAGAAAAAAAACCCACAAAGTTTTCTTAATCTAACATGAAAAGTTTTCTATAACTCTGTGCCAGATTAACATCCACTTATACAAGAAACAGAAGGCAGCAAGTACAAACAACGCAGCTAATGAAGAGCAAGACTCTTCCCACCCTAATACAACCGAAATTACTGGAGAAAAGGAAGGGGAAAAGCACCTGTACAGTTAAAGTACTAGAGGTTCAGACCTCAGGTACGACAAACACAACTCCCATTTTAGCAGATTTCAAAATTCATAATGATTGCTTGTAGTTAAAAACTTAAATCCTTGGGAGTGGGTGGTTCTTTGCTAAAACAAAAAGGGATCTTTCTTATTTTTAGAAATAAGGTTTTTAACTAATACCTAACGGTGTTTCAAATCAAAAGATTTTGCATTATCATATAGAACCAAGCTAACAGGATTGCCACTAAAACTGTCATAATTACTAAATCAATACATTATTTTTTTAACTATTAAGAAAAGTATAACCTAAAAGCCTCACCCATGTCACTTTTGTTAGTGGCCGATCCAGAAGCATTAAGCTGAGCAAGATCCACATCCAACTAACTTTACCATATCTGGGCATCCATGGAAATACTGCTTCCCTGCTCTGTGCAAAATGGGAGGAACACTGCGAGTTCCAACCACTGAATTAATTCTCTCTCCCACAGCACCCCCTTATATACTTCCCTCCCACCCTTGGTACACCGGCTTCTTCCCCGCTCCTGCCCTCCCCCCTCTGTAACAAGGCACAAAAGATGAGGCACCAGAGGAAAGATGCACCAGTTCTACACGGGAAACAGCAGAAGACAAATTATTAGAAACCTGCTTCCTATTCTGGACCCAGAGTCGTAAGCACAAAACTCTTTCCTGTACTATATTATATCACAGCAGTTGTTCCTATTTCCCATAATAAAACTGAGCTGAATAAATATAGCCAAAGTGATAAAGTATATTAAAATGTGTTGACATCATACTTGATGAGTTAGAATATATTACCAAACACTAAAAATAGCTCAGAGCTTTGCAATGGAAGGGGCATGCAAGTGTTACGTTACAGTTATTGTATGCATTCTTTTGCCAAATATGGCACCTTGTCTATAGCTTCCTCATGTACAGAAAGGCGTTAAAGGTGCCACTCCATGCATTAAAGGAAGAGAAGATAAATTAAAATGTCTCTAAAACACTGGACCTTTCAGCAAATTAACATTTATTCAACACAACAACACTTTGCAAAAGCTCAGAGGGTAAAGAACTGAGGCAATATGTCCAGACATCAATAAAAAGCTGCAAGAGAGGAGAGAGCCTGCAAGTCCAAACAATCTTACATTATTAGACACTTGAGAAATATTGACCTGCACACTTGTTAGCAATCCTGACCTTGGCACTGTAAGGTAAGGATGACTGTTCCTTAACAAGTCTTTTCTAATTAGCTCCTTTAATTTAACTTGCTTTATATATTAGAGAAAAGAGTTAGAGAGGCACAGATATATTTTACTTATAAAAGACACATTCAGGAGGTTAATACTTATTTTAAAGTTATGAGATAAGATAGAAAATAGTCAAATTAAAATATACTTTTTTAAAAACTTGAAATGACACCAAACATTATTTGTATGTAGCTCTATAATAAAACCAAAACCCCACTTGGAATTCATGCAGGCACCAAAGCTTGAATTGAATTTACAAAAATTACTTTTTTTTTTAAAATGCATATTCAAGTAAGAACTCAGTCAATATTAAGACTAGCATTTCATGCACTCAGTCATCAAAAATGGTTTCCATTAAATCTTTTTAGCCTACAATAGTATTTGGAGTAGAGTTTGGCAAACAATTTTCCTCCCCTTGATTGAATTTCTCCTCAAATGCGTATTCAATCAAAACTCAGACTGCTGGCTTAACACAGAACATGCACTGAGTGACAGAAAAAGCATGCTTCAAAAACAGTTAAATAATCCAGAAGTCTAACCTTTCAAAAGCTTTGTTTCTTCCACTTTGGTTAGATGTCCTTCATCTATGATCTTGTCTGCCAAACAAAATAAGTGTTACTTTCCAAGCTCAAATTTTCCCTGCACGCATCTACGTAGAGTACATTCCATGACCAAATTAAAAGCTGATAATATTACTTCCTACTCAGCCTTGAACAAAAACTTTATTCTGGCACAGAATAATGAAACAGAGCACACAAGCCTACCAGAACTTTGTGATACAGTGCATAATTATTTCTCCTTATTAACTTACATAATGCTGCATTTCACTAATGAGAATTTAGAAAAATGAATTTTATGTACTTAAAAAAAAAACCCCAAAACAAACTAATCGGAAGCAACAAATAATTAACACATTTCTCAAGTTTAGTTATCAAAAAAAGGAATTTGAAAATTTGGTTGCATGAAACAGACATGCATCCAACACAGCAGAAATCCAGAAATGCACCACATAAAAGAGCAACAGAGAAGTCCCCTCAACATCACAACTGCTTTTAACAGTGCCTGTGAAATATACACAGAAACACCCTTTTCTGTTTAAACCTTTCAAGAGAGCTGCACAAAAATCCTCCTAAAACCTAGGAATGCATTACATTCAGGTTCATGAAAAAAGGAGTTTTTATCCAAAGTCTACTTTAGCGAAGTCTACTCGTGTATGTGAAATGCACAAAAATCTTAGAAGTGGAATTTGAGACTAGATTGCTAACTTCATCCTAACTCCTGCTAGAACATAAAGGTAAACAAGCACACCAAGAAGTTGAAGGGAAGAACAGGATTGAATTAACGAAGGACACTAACAAAACTATTGAATAATTAATTTCTTTTTGCAGATGAGATTTCATTATTTCTGATTCCTTAAGAAGCAGTGCCAACACAGAAGATCACATCCTCCGTTTCTGTGCAGCAGATTTCACAGTTTAGTCCATGTTGTAAGCTGTTAGTCCCCAAAATATCAGGCCTGAGAAGCTCCCTCTGCCTCCCCTCCATGGTCTCTCTGTCAGATCCCTGATAACCAGGCAGGGAATGCAGTTTGCTGGATACTCCATGTGCTGTCAACAGGAAACTGACACACACAGAAGGCTGAATGAACAGCACAAACAGGAGAGTTCAGACTAAAGAAGTAAATCCTCTTCAAATTAGAAGCAAAACAACAAAACCCAAAAAACTTCAAGCTTTTTCAGCTTCAAGTATGTTTGAAGATGAATTTGTCCCTCTATTCCTCTGGTGGCATGTTGCTGTAACTATGACAATTGAAGGACAGATGCAGGACAAGATCTGGGAGAGGAGATCTTTCACAAACCTAGTTGGCAGACAAACTTTCAGACAAAAAAACCTGAAGTGTGAAGGTTTTCATGGCCAAAAGGTTGTCCTGTATTCTGCCCCCTCCCACACAGACAGATAAGCCAGTGGAAAAGAGATGTTCCCTCCACCTACTTTTATCTACAAATATTATTCTGCATTAATGTAACATTTTACTAACACTGCTTCAGAAACACATGCAACAGCACACTGGATTTTCAAGACTGGCTTTAGGTCTCAAGCAACTGTAGGAGATCACTCATCATCCAAGTTCAGAACAGCCTCAAGTTCCTCTGAGCTTGTGAGAATGACTGTGCCTAGACTGAGTAAAGCACTGTGGAGGGAATCAAGTTACTGGCAGACACAAGTCAGGAGTTCAACTGATACCATGAGTCCTCTTCCATTTAAAATAAAATAAATCTAAACAAAAGTCTTCATATATGATTATTCCAGGACTCAGCTGTGGCTGGAAGTGGGGTGGAAGGGAAGGCAGCAAGAAAAAAGCTGGGGAATTCTCCCTGTAGATCTGAATAAAACAGCTGAAGACAAAAACAAGTAGCTTTCAACTGCTTGAGCTGAAGGGGTAACACCTCAACCATGCTAGACTGCTAGCTTAAAATAGGCTTCTATAATCAGCTTACAGAGGAAAACTTAGCATTATGAATTGATGCATCTTTTAGCTTTCACAATTCAGTAACTGTTAAACCCTGAATAATTGCAATACAAAACAGAAACTATCCTTCTTGACACAGATGTTTTCCAAACTGAAACTTCTGCAGCAATTCTTCACACTCTGTTTCCATGACTAAAAGAAACTGCAGGCTTGGGTTTTTTGGCTTTTTTTTTTTTATTTCCATGGTGGCTTACTGTTTTCTCGTGTCCATTACTGATCTGAGCATTTGTACAAAAGGTACACTATCCTTGGCACTGCTTCTGCAGCCAAGACCTTGAGCAGCAGCACACAGGTCCCTGCCCAGCCTGGCACAGGGCAGGGCACAGCCAGTGTTTTGCACTCTGTGACTGACTCCTCACTTTCAGAAAAGTGAACATTCCCTGTGCTTCAAGAATGCTACCGTTGATATATGGAATAAGCCAACAAAAAATAATCAATTCAGCATGCTGGTATTTAGAGAATACAGATATGGTATTTTAGATAAAACAGAAAATTGGATGTTGGTATCACCAAACTCCATAGAATCTTATTTTTCACTATTACCACCCTAGTCATTAAAAACAGAAAATCTAGACAACAATGAGGGGAAAAAAAGATAAAGAGATGTCTTCTTTAAAACAGCTCTTTCAAATCTCTGCATTTTAAAATTTTACTATTTCAGAAAACTTCACAAACCTTATTGTTTTTAAATCAATTAGTGTTTTTCCTGAATCAAGACATGCAATCTTGTCCCTCAAAATACAAATTAGGCTAAGGATCTTAGCTTTAATTTCTGGCACGAAAGAACTTTAGCTTTCATGCTATCCATTCCCTACTTAGCAGAAAGCAGAGAGGTAGATGTAACTAATGTTTTTACTGACACAATCTGCTGCAAACTTAAGCTTTCAGTTAGTCCTTAAGATAATTCATATTTTCTTCTGCAGCTTAAAGCCAGCTTTCCTTCAGGTTTTTAGGCATTTCCTATCTTTTCAATTTAAGAACTCCATTTCAGATTTAAGCTATCACTATGTGCAATATAATAACTAATTTTAGAAATATCACTTAAGTAACATCACCCCTCTACATTTATATTTTGGCATCAAAATAGTCTTTGAAGTAGGCCAGGTTTGAAAACCAATAAAAGACCTGTTCCTCAACGCACAAATTTCCAACCATCTGAAAAAAGCGATACTAAACAGCTTTAACTTTACTTAGACACCTCCGGGTCAAAGGAAAAGTTAAAAATAATTTAATAAGTTCAATTCATCCAAAAACTACTATTAATAAATCTGCAAAAATCAGCTTGGTGAAAAGAAGGAAATTGACTTGCATTTAAAATCAAATGCAAAAATCACAATGTAAGGGGGGGAAAAAAAGGACACAAATAAAGAAGGGTTAGACTGGAGTGAAAGACAGGAAGTTAGCAGGGCAACAAATCTCACTTTGGTCTATACATCATCACATTTTTGCTAATAATGCATATCATGTACTGATCAAAAAGCACCATGACTTCTGCTCTTGATATCACTGATTTTGACCAGCGGTTACTAAAAAAAAGCTATGGAATGAGCAACAAGTGAACTGGATGTAATGATCAGAAAGTAAGAGACTTCCCAGATCATTTAGAGCCAGATTTCATAACACTCCACAGATGTCAGAGGTCAGGACACGTTACTGGATGATACTGTGAGCACATTGTGCTTAAAAAATAAAAATAATTACATAATATCTTCAAAAGTTTACAGAAGCTGGATTTTACAAACCATCTGATTTCTGGGATTTTTATTATATCATTCTTGTTTAACTAATAAACCTGCTGCTCTCTCAGTACCTTAAACCTCTGGGCAGAACCCCAACATACTACCACACGATGAGCTACATGTTCTTCTTGCTCTGTATTGCCAGTCTGTGTGATATTGTTCTGCACTATTTGCTGTGTGCCTTAAAACGACTTCCTGACAATCTCTGGAACTGTGACTTTTCTCCCCAGGAGTCCCAAGCTCTTGATGCTACACAGAGCAAAGAACAGAAATAGGACTGAAGGGCAGCATTTACATACAAAAGGCAAAGAACAGATCCTACAGTTTGCAGTTTTTAACCTCATGGTATTGTGAGGCCTGACCAAACACATTTGAACGTGGAAAAGGCAAACTTTCAGTCCAAGAACAAATAAAAGAGTCAATGATTTGGAATTTTTCTTGATGTGAGAGTAAAAACTTAGACTGTCATAAAAAATGCAAACTACTGAACTCATTTGAACTCTTATTAATTCCTTTAAAAATGAAGTAGTCGAGGCCTTGCAGTGTTTTCACTGTAGCTTTCAATGTCTTGAGAAAGGGTAAGCATAAATCCACTGATCTTAATTTTACTCTTACTAGTACTTCTTTAATATCTTAGAATAATTTAACAGATACTTGATCACTGTTCCTTCTCAACAGTGACAGGACTGGTAACATTTAGTTTGCAGAAGTGATACTAACCTAAGTTTTGCCAAAATAGGTTAAGTTTACTCTTACTAGTGCTTCTTTAACATCTTAGAATATTTTACTAGATAGTTGATCACTGTTCCTTCTCAATATTGACAGGACTGGTCACGTTTAGATTGCAGAAGTGATACTAACCTAAGTTTTGCCAAAATAGGTTAAGCTAACATCCAAACAATGCAAACAGGCAACCAATTTTAATTGAACATTACACAGGGTGCTCCTCATGTTCTAGACAAGAAAAATGTTTATTCAAGCATTTAACTTAATTTTATTAACATCCAAACAATGCACAGGCAACCAATTTTATTTGAACATTACACAGGGTGCTCTTCATGTTCTAGACAATAAAAATGTTTATTCAAGCATTTAACTTAATTTTTATGTACTGAAAATAGAAGATTCATACAAGATCTTTGCAAAATTTAGAATTATTTTAAACTTCAGCCTTACAGAAGACAGCTACCCGTCATTAATTTTTTTAAATAAAGATTTTTCCAATCTTAAATTTTCTTAGACAAACATTAGCAGTATCATGTCATTTGGCTGATGGCACTGCAATCAGGATCACAAGCAGTAAAATCAAACAAGTCTGCTACCCTTCCTCATAAAAATTTGAGACAAAAGAGTCCAATGGGCATAATGTCAAAAAATATCCTGTCTTAATTCTGCATCTAGATGCTTCTCTGCTCAATTTTAGTACATACTTTCTATAAACTCTGAAGCAAAAAAGTCCCAGGTTTTCTTGAAGTTTAATAGCACTCTGCTTCTCTTCATTCTAACGACATTTTTCTTTCAGTAGGCAGAAAGTATAAATATCTTCAGTTTTTCTTTAATTATAGATGTGCAGACAGTGCTGTTTCATTACTCATTTTTAAAAGCATTTTAAGGCTTTGAAAAACACGTTTCACATTCCAGAATAACACATCTTTCTAAAGACTGGTATGCAATTTTCTGTTTTTCTTAAAACAGTCTCTTGGATTTCCACATACAAACTATGAACTTGTTTTCCCTTCGGCTCTTTTGTTACAACTAATCTGGAGCATGTGTAAGGCCTTTAATTATCAGATAAATTACAGATATGTGAAAAGGCACCGCCTTCTCTGTCCTTTGCTGCCTGTGATGTTTGCTTAAAGTGACAGGTTTCAACTTAAATTGCAACAGGTGAAAAATTACACTCAGTTTTAAACACCATGTGGCAACATCACCACCCTCTGTTGGTTAGGGCACAATAATGGATGAACTGAGAAGAGACAATGTCACTTTGCAAGAGCAAAGATATCCTATTACATCTGCTTAATACCACAATGCCACAATTCTGTGCTTAGAAAATTTCTGCTTCTACAGAAATATTAAATAGTAGTGACAAATCCTGGTTTCATCCACCTTTTCTGTGTTTTCTGTTGTTTTTAAAGCAAATGTGAACACTCTTGTACTCACTCTGACATTCTATGAACTGATGAATAAAAGTGCAGTCCCCTCCACTCTTTGAAAGAAAGTGCTCTAGTAGAGAAAGAAACACTTCAGTTTACATCTTCTTATCATTTTCAAATTGATGCAACAAAAAATTTGAAAGGCATATTAACAATATTTGTCAGTGTATTCACGATGGACTTTTGAATCAAATCTGAGTTAATATGCAAGCAGACAAGACATGAAATTGAAATGATGTCTGAGTGATACTAGGAAACAGATTACTCTTTTAAACTGATCAGAAGAAAGAAATACTTCAGCTGCATTTTCAGACGAAACATGCTCTTGACCTATATTCTTCAGCATTTTTATTAGCTTTAAAAGGGTATTTCCAAAGTTATTCATTAATCTTCATGTTGATTTTTCATATCTAACACCCTCAATTTTAAAAAAGTTGTTGAATATAGGCCTATACTTTTTAAACAGTTTCACTTTGAAAAGACAGTTCTGCAGCGAGTTCCTAAAACTGAGCTCTGTTCCCAGGTTTACTCAAGTCCTTGTCCAGCTCCCAACTCCATCAGAATCCTGCATCTCTTCATGGTGCAAACATTTCCTTTCTGAAGAACCTCAAAAATCTTTTGACCAAGAGTCCAGCAGTGGGAAAAGGCTGGCATTAGTACAAACCTGCAGAATGTGGTACATTCTAACCAAATTGTTCAATCATTACCTCTGACATCAGCTGCCCAACTGCAATACTGAGCTTTACTGTATTTGAAGTTACTCTAAAGGTTTTTTAACCCACATGGACAGGGCTTTTAAAAAACAGCACCATGGCTGTAAAACTTATTTTCCACATTTAAACTTCCTTTTTTTTTTTTCATTTTCATTTTTACCTGGTCCTCTAAGTGACTCAAATTTCTCTTATCTTTCTTCATGTAATATTTGGCTCACAAAATTTAAAGATGAAAGCTAGGTGTGGTGCAACACATGGAGAAAAATACCACTTTTTGAAACAATTTAGTTCTACACAACTTTTACCAGGGGCTTGCTGTACCAAAAAGTTCCTCTTTTCTGCATGTCCAATGAGAGAAAATGAATGCCTAACTATCATTCTCTAATACACTTTTTTTATTGAAAGCCTCTGGAGAGGCTATGAGTTCTTAGTTCCTCTACTCTGAATACATCTCCTGACTGCTACAGCCACAGAAAAAAGTAATGTAAACCATTATTCTTGTCATGGCCAGGTAGTGTGCCTGTGCACACACTTTGAGAGAAAGAGAGACAAAAGAATTTTTAAAAGCATACTGATTTTACATGAGTTTCACAGTTTTCCTCTTTCATTCCCTAAGTTGTTCAATCTGCTTTATAAACCCAAAATTCTTAGCTCTTCTAAAATAATGCAGAACTACATAGCAAAAAACAAACAACAAACCAAACCAACCAACCAAAGAACTAAAAAAAAAAAACAACCAAAAACCCCAAACAAAATCCCACAAAAAATACCCCCAAACCAAAACAACTCCAAAAAACCCCCACAAAACAAAAAAACCAAAACAAAACCCAAAAAAAATTCAGCAGTAACTGTTTCCTGCTGCTTTTAAGAGAACAAATGCCAAAATCTGACAGAGCCAATAACTGCCCATCTGTCATACAAGGGCTACGTAAGGGACTGGAAGATGCAAAAAGGCACAGACTGTCATGAAGAGAACACAGGGCAGCAAGATGTAAAATGGCAGAGAAATGGGGATGGATCAGGTATGGCAGAGATGCAGAAAAATGTACAACTGACATGAAAAGCTACACTAAAATACAGACTAATGAAAGAGCATGCTGTTTGTGGCAAAAAAGGTGATAGGTTGTATAAACACTCAGAAAGAGAACTTGAATTAGCAGTTATATGTTGCCAGTACTCAAAGAAAAATAACCTGGCAAACAGCTTCCTAAAACTTCCAGGTTTAAGTACAAGTTCCACTGTTACTCATAGGATGGAGGAATCTATCTTGTCATGCATCAATTCAGATGACACTGAACTCCTGTACAACCCAAAATAAGTCCAAAAGGGATTGCTTCTTCACCTTTGATCAAAAAAGTGAGTTTCAGTGATATAATGATATTTGTTATAATCACACAGTGATTTTTAAATGGGCAATTTTAACATTTGGACTCATAAAAGGTATCAGTATTTAAAAATCTCACATGACATTCCCACCAACAATTTTAAAATAAAGTGTTCCTTTAGAAAAAATCAAATCTACTATAATGTCATAAATCCTTCCTCTATAAAATAATTTATATTCGCAGTTACAGCTCAAAAGCTTTTACAAAATGTGTCAAATTAGGTCTAGTTTTAAAAAGAGAAAAGCACATCTATTTCTTAACCATTCTATCAAATATTAAGCTATTACCAACCTAAAATTAGGCATCAGAAGATGGATGAGTCTATATAAACATATAATCCCATGGCAGTGTAGAGAAGTGGGAACAAACATTGCATGTCCTGCTTGCTAACCTCAGGATGCACCATGGCTCAGTGCCTAAAATGCTAAGACACTTGGGAGCAACCAGTACTCTTAGCTTTAGGGGAGGCTTTGGTGCAGTTCCTGTAGGTGTTTAACAGATCTCTCCTCCTGCTCCCAATAAGGAGGTTAAGTCATTATTAACTTTTAATTCTGCTATTGGTCTCCCTAGTTAAGAACCTCGTAATTTACAAATATGCATATGGAGCTTTAAAATTCTGTTTCAAAAATATAAATAGAGGAGTCCTTAAACAATGTGAATATTGGTTAAAACCCTGAGTTCTCTGTATAGGTCCCTGAGCTTTCAAACCAATGCTACCACCATCTCTCAGACTGTAGAAGTAAGCTACATCAAGGAAAAATTTAAATTGATACAAGAGGACAAATATATCTCAGCCAATTAAATAATCTGGAATCATAACTGGAATATTTTTTGCTATATGTGATATTGGACAATTTCATTCAAAAACTTTGTCTATGTTAAGACACATGAGCTAAAATATTTGGCTCTAACTAACTGGCCTTAAAAAAACCCTATCACTTCGTTCAATCGGTGTGAATTCCTGTTTCACATAAAGCTACTCCTGGAGTTTTAAAAAGTCAGTTTCCACTGTTTATAAATTTTATATACTCACATTTTTCATATTAAAGCTATAAAAAAATAGGTTTTTCTGACTTTACTTATCATACCCAACTTCACTAGAAAAACACTGGATGTGTTGCAGGGAAAATTAAAAGAAAAAACAATAAATGAGTTCTCCACTTTCTTGTGTTTTAAAGCTATTAAAAGATAGGTTTTTCTGACTTTACTTATAATACCCAACTTCACTAGAAAAACACTGCATGTCTATGTGTTGCAGGGAAAATTAAAAGAAAAAACAATAAATGAGTTCTCCACTTTCTTGTGTCACAACCCTGACAACATTCAATCAGTAGACTCCTACTCATTGCAGCAACAGCCCATCATGAACAAAAAAAAACAAACGAACAAAAAGAGACAGCCTCCAAGTGGTTTTGTTGTATTTTGCAGAACTTTCTAAAAACACTGTGACTGGAAGTACATGCAAAAAAAAAAAAAAAAACCAACCTGGTCAGGAGTGGACAAATTCATTTGCAAAGAGAAAAAATTTCAAGCAAAACTTTAGAGAACATTTTGAATGTGTTCATTTTCAAACATCAACCATAAGACAAAAGGTAGCCCTCAGATACACTACCTTTCTCTGTGCTCCCATTAATTTTAGGTATGAAGTCGTCAACTTGTATGCCTAGGATTAAGAAAGGGCATTATTTTTGTAATCAAGAAAAATGTTTTGGGCTTTGTTTCTTTATAAAGACAGCATTTTGAAATGTTCCTGGCTTTTCACACCACCTCCTCACAAGTACCTAATCACACAAACCAGGCAGTTTGACGTGTGTCCTGCTAGAGATGATGTTGCTGTTTGTTCAAACGTCTAAGAGGTAATTAACGCCAAAGAATTACTGCCTATTACACACACATACGTGTGTATAATGTATACAAAATGCGTTTTAAAGCGGCTCGAAGGCGCCTCCAAGGCCCGGGCCGGAGCGGACACCCGCAGAAGCAGCGCCCTCTGCCGGCCCTGCCCCGACACGGACCCAGCAGCCCAGGAGAGCTCCCTGCTGGGAAAGCTGGGAATCGGAGTTCTGCCAGACACCGAGACTACAAGATGATCACAACAAAAGTAACGGAACAGCAAACGCGGAAACCAGCTTGAAACAAGAAATTGATCACACCTACCTAAGCTGTTGTGTTCTTTAAGAGTTTTCTCTTGCAGGTGTTCTAACCGTACTGTAAACAGAAGTCCAAGAAAAAGGTATTTCACAGATTAAAAGAAAAACAAATAATCAAAGTTTTTTCCCCGCTATTGACTAACCTTGTAAAGCAGTCAGCCGCTCATTGGTGAAGTCATTATCAGCCTGCAAAGCTTCTATTTTTGCTTGAAGCTCTTGCTCTCTTTCTTCCATTTCATCTATTTTATGCTGCAATTCCTTTTTCTCAGCCAGTCCTTTTTGTTGGATTTCTTCTTGTCTTCCTTCTGCTACCTGCTCAAAAAGATTTTTTAAATCCCTCAAAACATCAAAATTAACATGTGAAAGGATAGATTTTGTTTTTTATGTAACTAAATGTACGTAACTTCCCTTGCTAATCAGATTCAAAAATGAAAAAACCTGAAATCTATTACCTTTATACAAATTTCACTACAAGTAGACTGATAAAATCTCGAAATATCTTAAGTAATTTTTTGACTGAGGAACATAAATTTAACAGCAACAGTAAAGGGTCTTAAAACTAAGAAATGCCCAAAGTCTCCACCATCTCAATACAATCAAAACCCAAGTACCCTTCTGAACTGAATGTACACTGCACAGACCACCTTGACTGCAAGCCACCTCTTCTTCCTTGCTGGATCTCAAGAACCTAAGTTTTAAACTGTCCTCCCTCAAAACAAGGTAATAAATTTCAGTTTTGATCGTTCTGGGTACACTCATCACCATCAGTGATCAACCAATTACTGGGAAACCATGTGCCTTAAGAGCAGCAATTTAATGTTTTAATTTTGAAAGAAAAATTTCTCTGAGGTACTGAACTAGGAACCTAGGTTCCAGTTCCAGTATTTATCCAAGATAAATGCAGCAACTGTCTCAGGTCTCCAGAGACAACACCATTACCTTCCTCCTTCACAACTCCTACTTACCTAGATTAGAAACTCTTGGAGAACAGGCTTTATCATAAAGTGATTATTCTGTTCTCGAGCATAAAGGGCTTTAAATTTTAATTTACTTCATTCTTAGATTTAGGTATTTCATTTCATATCAAACTTGATAGCAAGATGGAAGATGAGCCATATTACAATATGGTGGACTAGTATGTTTGTTGTAACTGCATGAAGAGGCAACACGAAATGCAAATTTATTTCTAATTCTAGTTTTTATTTCTCTTACCTTTCAGATGTTTAGCTTGAAAGTTATTAGTCCTAATAAAAGCAGCTGCATGTAAAGTTCTGTACTACACATAATTTTATACTATAATATATTTCAGTCCCAGAAATATGGGAGCTTTCAAAGTGAATGAAGAGGGAAACTTTTTAGGAAGTTACTTAACTGATGCCAGTTTCAATTACACTAAAACTGAACCTAGAGAATATACAAATGATATGCATCTTTCTATTGCTAACTGGTGTTTAACAAGTTTCTTAACTTTTTTGTTAGCTGCATTAAAAACTAAACTGTGTTTATTTGTTCCATTTATCACATTTATTCTATCCCAAGTCAGATGAAATTCTGTCATTACCTTTAGCTTGTCAGAAAGATCTTTAATTTCATTTACAGCTCCATTGTACTTATTAGCTAATTCCCTTAATTCTTCCTGAGTCCTCTCATTCATTTCTTTCAGGTGTGTACATTCATCTTCTGTATTACTTAAACTCCGCTGTAAGACAGAATGATTATGCAATAAATAATCACAAAAGACAGACAATAAACTACCAAACACTGCAGATGATCTATTTTTTCCAAGCAGTATATATGCACAGGATGCCAACTAGTCTTATGAGACTTCTTGACCAAGGGAATACAGCAAATAATGATAGAGGAAAAGACAATAAAGGAAAAGAGAATCATGTGAGATGTCACAAGGGCAGAAAATCTTAAAAGAGTGTCTAACACTCTGACTGTAAAAGCTCCATTTAAAGCACACTTTGTACAAGTGGTCAAGTGTATGTTTCCATAAATGCTGCAGTTTAAACAAGATCTTACAGCATTTTTTTTAATACATGTATGTCATTTTCCCTGTGTATGTCCCACACACTTCTGTAAGACAGCATCATGAATTTTGAAAGCAGGGAGAAAAGGGAAGAGCTGAAAGAATAGTTTCTCATTAATGGTTTAACAATCTTAGTCCTAGGAGAAATAAACACTACTTAATATCCTGCAAGTGCAGAGTACAACAGATATTGACATAACACAGCAACAAAGCAGGGATCTAAACAGCAGCAGTTACAACTGTTTCAGCACTTCCACACGAGCAGGCATGAAACTTCAGTACCTCCACTTCAGATAATTTTCTGACCACTTCAATTTTCTCCTGAAGGACCCGCCTCAGGGACTCTTTGGCTGTTGTCTCATAGTTGTGTTTGTCTTCCTGTAATGCTATAAGCTCTTTTCGTATACTGTCTTCTGTTTGATTCTGCATGTACAAAATAATTCAAGAACAGAATAATTACTGTTTTGCTCATTAATTAGATTGTGATAAAGCCTGTTTTATTAAAAATTTTTAGCTGTTTCTGAGAGATGAGAAAATGTTATGTACGAATCAGTGATCAAAGATTCTTGACATGACTGGGTATAAATAAGTGATTTTTTCAAGTGTATGTATAGCAGCACACATTCAGTGATCCGTTTTGATCACATGAGAATTATGGCACTTTTTTTGGGCACTGCTAAGACAATGTCAAGCCTAGGAGACATAGAACTGGACAATCCAGGTCCCAGAGGAAAGACCTTAAACAGGACCTGCAGAAAAAGTTTTTATAATGTAGATAGTTGAGAGAAAATAGAAATAAAATAACAATTAAAATCCAAGGCAGACATAGGTGGCCTAAACAATAATCAGGGCAGCACCTACTTGTAACTCTGAATACCAGACAGGACATGGGCAATGAAAACAACAGCCACTTATTGAGATGCCTTGAAATACAGAGCAGATGTACAGTTTTTGTGCTACTCATATTATCAAAGTTGCATAGGCTCCTTTTGGAAAGGTTATGCTACAAATGCTTTCCTACAACTAGCTACTTCCAAAACACTTGAAAAGAGCTGCCTTTCAGCTTTCCTAATATTTGACTTTAAGTGAACTACTTACCTTTGAACAAGCTTGTAACTGATTTCCCATAACCTCTAGTCTTGATAGCAGCCTGTCTTCATCTATTAAAGCCTAGAAGAATAGAAGTATCACCTTAGAATTATCCCATGCTTAATGCAGTGCCAGTAGAGTTCTGCTTTAAAGATCTGAATTTTGTTGGAATACTTACTGCTAATAGCTATTTCAAAGGTACGCAACCACTAAATGTATTAAACATTGTCTTTTGCACAGTTTTAGAGAATCACCATAAACTTTTTGTTATCTCTGCTGCTTTTTCCCTGCATTAACAGCTAAATTTATATGGCAATGCACAGTTGAGTCCAGAAGGAAAGGATCCTGCAGATACCTGCCAACTAGTATCTGAAGCCTCTTGTGTGACAGCAAGTAGTCGCTGAAGGGTTGCCAGCTTCTGTTCCAACATTTGTTCCCGATGTAAGGCTTCCTGTGAAGGGAGCAGGGCACCAGTCAGTTCGGCTAGAACAACTCAGGGAATCAGAAACAAGAGATCCCAAAATACAACAAAAAAAGGAAATGTGAGCAGCAAACACTGTAAACTTGTTCAAAACCATAATAAGCCCACTCTATTTTATCCATTCCACAAATTTATTTGGATAGTTAATTAGAAAATGCTATCCTATAATCTCAGGTTCCTAAACCATTCATTTTCATACTATGTTGCACATGCTGAGGACACACTGCTGTTCTTCCCAAGACTTAAAGATACTTCATCTCTTAAGTAGCAAAACTGCAGACACCAAAGGACAGCTTGGCAGCTTCCATGCAATGAGCTGTTCATCCTCAATGAGGTCACAAAAAAGAAATGCCAAGCAAGAACTACTATTTCTGTTTGATTTTTGCTTTATGACAGGAAGACAGAAGAGCATCTTCGTTAACTCCAGGATATGGAGAGAGAACAGATTGGTGAGTGAATATGTATTTGGCTTCCAAAGAAAGAGCATCTGCATGAGCTCCTTCCTGCTATGTCAGCAAATACATATAAAGATAGATATTATCTCAAAAGCCTTGATGTGAACAAATAAAAATTGCCATTATCAAACAAAACCAGGCAAAATTAATCAGTAGAACTTATACACAGTTAAACCTGGAAAAAATTTACCAGCAAAAAAGTTTTCATTTTTTTCCCCAAAAAGCTGATTATATCATCCTTTCTAAATGCACACAGTTTAACGTGCTACCATTTTGCAGTCTAAGTCTTTTGTGGCATGACATCTTGGGAAAAGCACACCTATCAAACTGACACAGAGGCAGACACAGAAAGGCTTGTGATGCCAGTGAGGAAGAAGAGCTGCCAGCACTGTCCCTTCCTTTCTAGTTTCCAGTAGATACAAGCCACAGGATAAGATTTGCGTTTTGAACAAAAATACCCAACCAAACTAAATGACCTTAAAAGAAACTTACTTGTAGATACTGTGAAAGCTGAAACAATTCCTGAGAATACATACTGGATTTTGAACAAAAATACTCAGCCAAACTAAATGACCTTAAAAGAAAACTTACTTGTAGATACTGTGAAAGCTGAAACAATTCCTGAGAATACATACTGGGAGTGTTAGCAGCAACCTGAAAAAGAAGACAAGTAAGAATCAGAATGGTTTTGGATTTTTCCTTAAATAGAAGTAATGTGAAATTCACTTAAATCTACTCACAAAGGTAAACTCCGGATTATCTAATAATAGCATTTTGCTTCCTTTCTTGTTCTGTTATTATTTATGCTTTTTTTAATCACAGAACTTCCCAACTTGGGACTTAGGTCCCACTGTGTTTCTGCACAAGTTCTTGAACCACCAACACGCTCATGAGTCAGCTTTTGGTACAGTTGAGACTGAGCTGACAATAAAGAAACAAGGGGCACAAAGGTGAAGCCATTCCACTCAATGACAAACACAAATTGTGGGCTTCCAGCTCGATCACACATATTATGGCTGCACACTTCCTGCTGGCCTACGAGTTATCATCATGTCTCTCTATAAGTATCTATTTCAGAATTAAGGAATAGCTGTACTACCTTTGTATAATAGTAAACTGTTCTTCAGTTGGACAGAAGCGGGGGGTTGTTCTGTGGGTTTATTTCAGCCAATCTATTTGTTTACTAATTCTTGTAGGCTTCCTACACTGAAATAATTTGTAACTGTTTTCCCACAGTTACACCTGCAATCCCTCCTCAGGATTTCTACCCTTGTCCTGGATTCAAGTCACACATACTGTTTTGAAATCTGAACTTAAACAGTCTATAAACTCCTCAGGCTGCTGGTTTCACAAGTAAGTTTCCACAGCTGCTTGATATTTTGTTCTTCATGCATAAAACTCTGATTAGAACCTACTTAAGTTTATCTTTCTTTTTAGAGACTAGAGAAATAATCAACTTCTGATCACTTTTCTCAAGGGAATATCTATTAGCAGCTTTTCTACAAGTCCCCTGCATTACCAAAGCTGAGTTTAAGAATTACACTTAACAATACTGACTCCATGACTCTACAGTGAGCAACTCTGGCTCTACAAGACAGGCAGAGAGGTTTGCTCCCAATCTTCCTTGGGAACACGACTTGTGCAGCACAGCTTCTCCTCCATAAAAAACGTTGTATAAAGAAAACAGACCTCCCCAAACACCAAATCATGAGCTACTCTTGGGTCCCACTGAACATCAAGTAATAAATTATCAACAATTGTTAGTCTGTCATCCTGCACCTGGAAATTAACCATCTTAACATCAATGGTTTTGTTCCAAAGCCGTGTTTCAGGTGCCACAATGTAAAAAGTCAACTTACCTTCAGATACACACTGTAATACTGCATTACTTCTCTACCTTAAATGTCACTCAAAATATTAAACTAGGTAAAAATAGTCAGTGGAAAACATATCAAAATGTTACTGGACAGATTTCACCATTTCTTCATCTTTATAGCAAGTCTGAAAATAGCATGTGTCTGAATAAGGCATAAACCAGCAAATTACTGAATTACCTTGTCAACAGGACTTGGTAATGGTGCATGGATAACACTAAAAAAAAAAAGTGGACACAAAATACATAAATGTTGTACTTGCACATTTTCATCAAAACTAAAAATATAACACCATACATTTTTACTATTTCTTGTTTGAACATGAAATTATATGGAAAATCTTCTATAGTAATTTACTTTTATTTATCTTCCCACAAGTAAACAAAGATACCCTAAAGCTTCACACAAGTATTTATGGATACTAACGATAAAAGAATATTTAAATAAACAATAAACCCCACAAAATTGTTGGTAATGAAAGATGACTAAAATTATGCCATTTTTGATTATGCCATTTAACAAAATGTTACAGGTTTTGGTTTCTAGTACTCTTGGAAGATTTCCCAAAAATGGGCATATACACAGAAAATGTTGTCAATATTCATCTCAGTTTCCATTAGCTTCACTTTAGTCAAGCTTATGTGCATTTAAAAGAGCCAAAGTAACAATCACAAATAAAGAAAGAGGGCAGGAGAATTTGCTTATTTGCTTTCTTTTTCTCTGTATTCTTCTGTTTCTAATGCCCATTTCAGCAGAGTAAACCACAGTCAGAAAAGCCCAACAACATAAGAATTTTTTTCTTCTTTTAGAGAACTTCTTTATTCTTCAGAGTTGTCTTAATTACTAAAAACAACAAGCAAATGAGTGTTTTTTCTCATAATGCCTGCAAAAGAACCATGCACTCGCTTTGGAGGATTACAGGAAAATAAACTGCTCCCATGATGATTTTAGACACAATATCCATCAAATCCTCATCATACAGTAGATGAATTTTGGTACATGTGAATAAATATTCTTACTCTGATCGCAATCGAGCTTCCATTCCATCTGGAAGGAACAGTTTGATTGTGGAGACTATACATCCATGGGTAACTGAAAAGAAACAAATACTAAGTCATTATGATCCATTACTACTTCATTTTAAGTTCAGTGCTTAATGTTACAGTAACCAAGCAAACTGTCTTAAACCCTGAGACAGGCAAAGAGGAGGAGGCATGAACACCTTCAAGCACCAGTGCTTGGGTCTGCCTTCTCAAACCTCCTCTGGAGGCAGGAAACTTCATCATTACAAACTTGAAGAGGTCATGCTGGGTACTCAGTCCTGGCTGTGCAGCAGCTCCAATTCCAACTCTTCCACGTGCAGCAATACTTGAAACTTGTCTTTACTGTAGTAAGTTAAAAAAGTGGATGTTTTTTCATAAATGAGTGAAGCAGAATGCATCTTACCTGCACCAGGTAACAGGAATGCAGAGGTACAAACAAAATAATGAGCTGCCTTTTTGACAAGATTCTGACAAGCATACCCAGGGACTTAGAAGGTAACACCTCCAATTTGTGTCACTGACACTTACTTCAAAATCTGGAACTTGCCAAGTAATTATTATTTACAAAAAAGGATGGAAAAGGAAATGCAGAGGAAGTGTGTAGGAACCACTGAGAAGTACATCCTTTTGAACACCGAGAGCAGCATCATTCAAGACAACACATTTCTGTTTTGGGGTGCTTGCAGTGCACATCTACTGCATAGCCCTAGACTATGGCCTTTCATTTCAGAAGAGGTAAACTTGCTCCTTGAGGACTAAATTCAAGATTTAACTCAAGAAAGATCCTAAGAGGAAGAAATGCAATATTTGATTTTTACATCAAGTTCAAACCTTCTACACCATGTTTTGAAAAATGTTACTGATACAATTTTCAGTGCCTTTGCAAACAGTAAAATTATGTGTGTGTCTTGGTTGATTTTTTTTCCCTGTATGGTTCTATTAACTGGGAAGCAAAAATTATTTCCAGATACATGGAAAGGTAGCTGTACATTGTTCCAAAAACACTACCACAAGTGAGACACAAATGACTGTGTGGTCACCTATTATGGACCACTATACCTCCAGCACCCACTAACATACAAAAACAAAGAGCTGTTCTCCTTTCTCTGTCATTAATATCAGCAACACAGTTAAGCTGGCTTTGAAAGAAAAAAAAAGGGCAATGGGCGTTTTAGGACACTGGTAATACTCCAGGGAAATGAGACAGGTCTTTAAGGAAGCTACCTCAATAGAATCTAAATATAGAGGAGAAATGATCCAACCAAGACAAGTTGGTTTTAACCTTTATTTAGCTAATGCTTTGGAGACGTATTCTCCTGACTAGAGCATCTTGTTTTTTCAAGCTGACCTAGTATAGTATTAAATTTACATGCCAGGGCAGAACAGATTAAACTGCAGGGTTTGGGGTCTTTATTTATAAATTTAATAAATCCAGTTTGCAAAAACATTTTAAAAATACATTAGCAATATTAGCTGTACGCTGTAATACATAGCTTTCATAATGCAAAATTCTTTCTTTTAGAGGAAATCAGTGATTTTAATAAGAAAAACATTAGGATACCTGACATTAAATGGCAACATACAGCTTTACCTTTGGGTCACCTATCAGGTAGGTCTGCTGTAAGATTATATAATTCTGAAGATTTTCTGTCAACAGCTAGACTGACAAAAATCTCCTAAAATCTGCAGGAGCTTTATTTGTGTCAAATTAAGATATAATGGGCATCTAGCAAAAGGTATCAAATACACAGTGACTGGGAAAAGCTACCAAGCATTTTGACAAACTCATAAAATTAAAATAGTAAGAAAGGAAACAACATCCAAACTCTGCAGTCTGACCTTTAGCTATCAATCATTGCAACTGGAAAAATAAGGAGAAACCCTGAGCTACAGCAACACAGAAAACATGTATACAGTACTGACTGCACAGAACAGCAGCAATGGTTTAATTCAGATCTACAGTATTTCTTGTGAGGAATTAACAAGAAAAGGCAGTAAAGCAACGCCTGGTTTCCCAATGGAGCTGAAGCACCCCACGTCCCCATGGCTGACCCCCCTCTCCATCCCACTCCCCTCCGGCCGCTCCGCGGGGCCGCCGCTCCCGCCCGGCCCCGGCACAGCCGGCATTGCGCAGCGCCGCCGCCAGGGGCCGCCCCAGCGCCGGCCACCGCGCCCGCCGAGCCCGCCCCGCCCCGCGCGCGCCCTCCGGAGCGGGAACGGCAGGGCAGAGCCACGGCTCCCCCCAGAATATCCAACTGCAGCCCCACAGCCACGGCTCCCCCAAGAATATCCAACTGCAGCCCCACAGCCACGGCTCCCCCCAGAATATCCAACTGCAGCCCCAGAGCATCCCCCCAGAATATCCAACTGCAGCCCCAGAGTATCCAACTGCAGCCCCAGAGCCACGGCTCCCCCCGGAGCATCCAACTGCAGCCCCAGAGTATCCAACTGCAGCCCCAGAGCCACGGCTCCCCCCGGAGCATCCAACTGCAGCCCCAGAGTATCCAACTGCCACCCCGCAGCCACGGCTCCCTCCACAGCATCCAACTGCCGCCCCACAGCCACAGCTCTCTCCACGGAGTAAAAACCCTGCTCCTGCTCCATCTGCTGTTCCACCTTCAGACACAAATTTCTTGGTCCCCTCCAAAACACGGAGCTGACCCATATTTCACAGATCCAAAACCCCTGAGACCTGTCCTAAACCCGAACAGGCTCTGCTGCACTATAGCACAACGGGAACACAGAAACCATTTGTTTGTCTCAGTTTTTATTTCCTAGAGAGACAATTTGCCAATGATGCTCTCGTTTTCACTCATTAATGCGGTACCCAGCCCTAAGGAGCCCCCTACACCCCTCAGGGGTCTGCACACTGCCCTGCAGCACACACTGCTATGGGGCTCCCCACTTGCATAACCTCCCTCAAACATCCCAGGACAGAACAGATGTATCAGAGTCCAAACCTGACTAGAAAAAAGTGCATAAACTGCATTTGAACTAAATCATGTTGGTATTATTTGACCTTGCTTGGCAATGCTGTTGCTGCTTGCTGTGCAGGGAAGTATCACAAATTATCTTGGAATGCTCTGGCACAAGTGGGAAATTAAGAAAGTGCTAAAAGAATATAAACCACACGAATACAGTAAAGAACAGTGAGATGTTAGTAGGTAAGTTCTGTATGAAGGAGGGGGAAATAGTGAGTCCCCTGTGCTTGTCAGTAATACAGCAAGTGGACAAATAAGGAAGCAGGAGGGTTGCAAACACTTCTCCAGGACCTGTTACTGACTTTAGCTCAGCAGCAGGAAACTGAGGAATTGGTGCTCATACTTGATAACCTGAAAAATGATATAGTGAACATGCCACTATTTTAATGAACCAAATCCAGATCACACTTGCAAGGAAATTGCTTACTAAAACACAGCCTGAACAATAAAATAAATGTATTTTAGCAATACTGGCAGAATTCAGAATTTACATGGGCAACTACACTCATTCTGTCCAGTCATTACCTTATAATTACACACAGCAGATTGCTGAAATGTCTTGTGCGAGTAAGGCATTATGTAAATACCAGAGTGCAAAGTGCTTTTAAAGGGAATGACCAATTTAAAAACTACTTTCCTGTCTGTTTCATGACCAGATTAGATTAACAGTAACATCTAAGACTACTGAAACCAGCTGGTGAAAAACCCATGTTTATATGCATTCCAACGGCATTCATAGGTAAACACTCTGTGATGATACAATCTTCATTCTCTGCTTGGGGGAGCAGAGAGGGAAGAAAGCAAACTTGTATCCTCATTAGCGAGCTCAACACATTCATGAGAAACATGAGCACAGCTTCCAAGTTCAAAGGCAGAGAAAAGGACAAGGAAGGCTGCATAATCTGATCACTCATTACACAAATGCCAGGTCACCAGCATTTGTGTAATGTATCGTGCTTTGTAAAACTAATATAAAACCACAGCAAATAACTACTACTGGCAAAAATTCATGGCAAGAATTTGCTTACTATGAACTTTCTGCAAATGTTTCCATGAACTGCAATGTGCTGATAAAAGTAAGTCAAGTCCAATTTCCCTTCCAACTAAATCTTAAATAAAAATTGTTTTAGTCTAAATACACTTGAAGAAATTCAGCTTCTCTTAGCAAGGACAGCATCTCATCAAATTAATAGCTCCAAGTTCATTAGATGCAGTGTATACTTTTGATCTCTTCCATGTGTACTGCTGGTATTCATAAATGTTTGCAATTACTGCACATGGAAATATTTTAAATAACTCCCAGCAATTTCAGCTAGGCATCCTGGAGTTGAATCTTTGCAACATCAGTTTTGAGAAGAGTAAAACAATGCGATAAGACCTTCACTACAATGAATCACTCAAAAATCCTACAGCTCCAAAAGCTCTTGACAAAATACCACCACCATCATTACTTAACAATGTTTTCTTTAAACACATTCATTAGCCTTCCTCTGATAGTTCAGATCTGAGAATTACAACCTCGTCTGGCTAAAGACAAAATTCACAAGTAACAGAGCAGGTACCATCTTTACGTTTTGTTCACTTAACGCACTTTATGAAATTCTCCTGTTGTACTGTGGTTTGGTCTGTTGGACTTTGGAGGGGGCCGGTTTGTGAGAGGTTTGCTTTGATGGATATTTTCTTTATTTGCTTGTTTTAAAAAACTTTATCATCAGCCTTCCAATTTAATATTATTCTTTCATTCTTCTCTTATACACTTCTCTTTAAGGATAAGCTCTACGAAGGTCTTGTTCAGAAAAGCAGTAAAGGGGTGATGGCAGTTGACATTTTATTGCCAAATCTGTGTGCTATTGAGTAGGTAGGATTTTACAGAACATGGCCAAACGTTCAATGCTTACAGAAAGCAGCAGACTCATCAGGGAACTTTAAAAAGTCTCAACAAAACTGATTACAGTCTGATACAGACTGTACAGACCATACAGACCAGTCTCCAGAAAGATAAAGAAATGGTTCTTGACATACTACGTAATTTCAAAAGAAAACAGATAGAGGCTGCATTTTAATTAGCACAGATACAGAGCTATTGCCATAATACAAGATCTCCTGAGCATGCATACTGGGAAGAAAACAGCAAGAAAAACAAAACAAATAAATATGCCATCAGCTCATTTGTCAGCTAGCAACTTTTTTTTATTCTCATTTTAAAGTACCTGCAGAAATCAAAATCAGCAGCCAACACAGAAGGAAACAGTGGGTATCCTGAAAAGAATTAAGTTAGCCTGTTTGAAACTTACGCTGACTACTTGATCAAGAAATTCAGGTTCATACTTCTGTCACACTATTAGCTGAAACATTAAGGTTCAAAGGGTTTGAAAGAAAGGTAATTGCAATTATAATAATAAAATCCAAATACAAAAAGCCCAATACAGCATTACACACACATGCTTGTGTTGCATTTTTTAAATTGCTGTAGGTCAATTTAAGTGAGGCAATAGATGAAGACATAGCCCCAGCTGAGCCTCCTTTTCCAGACCTACACTTCCCCTGCACTCAGTAAGGGAAGAAAGTAGGCCATGGAAACAACCCAGTAAAGTCCATCTGGGGGTGTGAGGGTGGAAATAGAGTCTGTGTTTTCAGCAGACATGTTTCTTGGTCAGGTACCACATGGGGCCAGGGCTCACTGCCAGCACAAAGGAGGGAAGAAGTAACAAAAAATCAAACAAGACTGTTTTCTTACAATGGGAATGCCATTTAAAGACTGGATTGTAGTAAGATGTTCCAAATAAATATACTCGAAAAGAAACCAAAAAATGATCCATACCCTTACCTTTCCGCGTGTTCTCCGTCACATCTACACCAAACTGGATGATGTCACCTGACATAATTTCACATGGTGGGCTTTCCTCAGATCCTCTACTCAGTCTCTGACTATTAATAAAGGTACCATTACTACTTTTAGTGTCTTGAAGATAGAACTGCAAACAAACAAACAAAAACAAAAATAAAGTATTTGGGAAAAGTAAGACAAGAAATACAAGCACAAGTAAAATTTTATTTATATAAAATTTATTTCCAGAACATAACAAATGTATCAAACTCTAAACACCCTCATCAGGATGCAACATCTTCCCATCATCAAGAAGTATTTGAATTTGATTTTGAGTTCACATATGATTGAATTCTAGCACACACACTATGCAAATAATTGCTACAAAGTGTGCCTGAACTGCCTGCAATAGAGGATCACAGGTCATTAGCAGCAACACCTTTTGCCACATACATATAACAATTCATATTTAAGTTGGTCAACACACAAGTTCTAACTGCTCACACATTCAAGGTAACAGCATTGCATGACAATCATGCTGCAGAAAAGGCTACTGAAGGAAAACAGCTGGCAAAAGACAGAATTCAGGAATTGCAATAAAAGACCATGGAGAAACTTCAAGAAAACCAACAGGATGCTTTTACTTCTCAGCAATACTAGTTCACATCATTAACTGAGTTTCAAGACTTCAAGTACTTTTGTAAATACCAATCTGCAGAGTTAATTAAATGTTAAAAGCAATTTATTGAATCTGAAACTGCTTTTATGATGCAAGACTTGTAGTCTAAACTTCTGCATCTGAGAAGAGGTTACAAATGAATCACCTAGCAGAAGACCAGAGTGACTGGCTATGACCTGAGCAGTGACAGCACAGAAGAGGTGACCAGAATGCTTCTGCCAGCCAGGTGTAACTACTAGAATGAGTCAATCTCACCACTCCAAGATAACAACAGCTGCTACAGGAAGCTGCTGGAATGGTAGAAATCACTGGCTTCCTGCACTCATAAAGAATCTCATCAAGTCCCAAAGCAGGCATAAGGTTGGGGAAAAAGATGATGTGTTCAGATAAATAAATGTATTTCCATCTTTTTCTTATAAAAGCAATTGACCTTTCCTTTTTTACAGCATTCTCTGCAAAATTTTCCATGTTTTTAATTGTCTCTATTATTGCAGGCCTCAAAAAACCCCTGATACATAGCTCAAAACCACAGTGTCAAGGGGAAAGATGGGTTTTGAATGGAGTGAGAGTAGAGCACCAGGGCTCCTCAGATCTTGTACTGGAAAATGACACCGAATGCATGATATGGATCTTACATGGCATAACCCAGTGGCCCTAAGCATAGAGCTGGAATTCCATTGTGTCACTGGACTCACTAATCAAGGGGAATGCCAGCACAGGAAAGCTCAGGTGGTGTTTGAAATGAAAAGCAGTACGTGAAAGACTTCCCTCCCCCCAACAGATACGCCTTAGATCTTCAACTGAAGGAAAACAGTAATCTGTCACAAGCTGATAAAGATGAAGGTAAGCATACATTACAGGTAGATCAAGAAATTATGACTGCATTCACTATATTAATAATCAAACCCACTCTACTCTAAATAATACTCTCCATAATATTAAATACCATCTATTAACATAATAGTATATCATATAGCTCCTATAAGTTATATGCTTAAAAGCCAACCAAATTAATTAGCTTGTTAATTTAATAGTCTGAAAGTACTGAACCCTCTCATGGTTCAGTGCAGAGGTAATTATTTCTTGCTTCCTGTTTGTTTTCAATTAGCTTTCTTCTTCATTCAAAAATTCTTCTGTTATGAAAAAGTGAGTCACAGGCAAGGAGAAACAAACATGCTTCTGCTTATTTGCTCTTCCCCACCCTTTTCTTCTCTGTGCACATCTGCCTTTTATCTCTCCCAATGTTTTGATTAATCATTGCCCCTTGTAACCACATTTTTGCAGAATCTGCAAATGGGATTCAGACAAGATAGCAAAAGGAAATACAGGACAGTGACCACTGGAGAAGAAGTGCAACAGAGCATCAGCCATACAAAACTAGTAAAACATCGGTAGACACAACATTCAAAGTGCAAAAGGATATTTGTAAACAAATGTCAGCAGAAAATACACACTACATTTACTGATGTCCACTTAAGTGTGTATTTTCTGCATACTACTGAATTGTATTACATAAACTTTTGAAAAAGTGATGCTCTTCAAGTCTTTTCATCCTGTTTGTAAATACGCTTCTTCCTGCATCTAGTAAAGAAGCAATATGAGCCACATGTTAGTAGCTGATGCCTAAGGAGGGGAAAACACACTGCCTTCAAATCTTGCTATAAAGGATTTAGTAATCTTTAATGTAGCCATTCCTCAGGAACCCACTGAGCCAGTCCCTTTCAGGTAGAAAATTCAAATGTTACTTCCATGCTGGTTTTCTCTAGTTCAAATGATCTTTCTCAAAGGTCAATCTCTCCATCCCTTTTGCATAATTACTAAAGCTATCTTCAGGAAATAAAATCAAGTGCAAGCCCTGAAACAAATGTGTCTATACATTAACTAGTACTTGTGGCAGCATACCGGTTTTTCATATGCTATTTAATTATGTGGTAAGCACAGCGGGTTCTCAGGTTCCCAAACCAACACCTTTTACCCAGCAGCTGTGTAACACAGCATCTTCTGTGTACCCAGCACCACTTGTCCTCCCAGCTCCCAGCGCAGCCCAAGCTCAGGCAGCAGTGCCAGCTCAGAGCAGCGATGCCTCCTGCCCTTCCCAGCTCTCGCTGCCGAGCTGTGCCACCACCTGCACTGGCTCAGGCACTTGTTCAGTTACTGCAAACCAGTTTTGAGCTGATGCAAGGTAAACAAGGAGGTGCTCAAGCCAGTGCTGACAGAAAAAATGACAGCATATACTGGCCTAATTATACTTGCTTTTATAATTCACTCTCCAGAGGGAAGTCCCAGCCCTTTTGTACCTCATATTAACAAGTCCAGTGTAGAGCAGAGACGGCAGCTCATGCACATTCAAAACAACTCAGCTTTTGAGGACTGCTGAAGTACTACCACATCCTTAATTCAAGGGATAGCTGTATATATTGTGCCAGTGCTGGTTTCCCCTCCTTTCTTAAAAAAATACAAGGCAACACACAAAGTATCCAAGAAACTTACGCTCCACTATCATAACATTGCAGACAAAAAAAAATCCTAGCCTTTCTTCTTGAGTAATTTATTGTTTATATCCCCTCCCATCTACAAGCCATTAATAAGATCAATTAACTGCAGACATCTTACCAGGCTGCTTCCACAAAATTTGTGAAGATTTTATTTTAAAGTAAAACTTGCAGCTCACCAGTACACACAAACTTCCCCAGTACAGTCCACCTTCCTTAGAAACTACATCATGGAAGTTTCAAAAAACTACAGATTTTTGTTTCCCTGTTTTGCAAGGAATTATGTACTTATTTCACTAATTTAGTATTTATAGTATTTCAAGTTACTCTTCAGTTTTGCAAATGGTACAAATGTACCTCCTCTGCTCTGACCTATGGTGCACAAAAATCACATTCCTTCTTCTAGGTCAATGACTCAGAAGAACATCAACAACCTGCTAAATCAGTTCATATCTTATTTTCATGCAGTCAGATACCACTATGATTTTTCCACTATAACAAATTGCTAGTATTTTCTGAAAGAGAAATAGAAGATTCTTCCGTAGTGACCCCAAACCATAATACAACAAATCTAAGCACATAAAATATGTTAATTCTAACTGATACTAGGAAGTTGCAAATTGCTATGCTCCACGATGACAGATTTTAACCTAACTTATGAAATGTAGGTTAATGTTTTCTTCAAAGTAATAAAACCAACTAGCAATAACAAACCCATTCTGTTTAATGATCACTATTGCAGCATCTTCCAGGAGGCAGGCTGAAGAGAGCTCCTTAATTAGCCTGACAAGTGAGAAAGCCATGACATGTTTTTTTTCCCAAGCCATATACAGGCCTGATACAGGATGAAACACTTTTGAAGGATGACAGAGAAGACAAAATATGGGCTCACAGATGTACAGAAAATCTTGAAAGTAGCACACTTCTTCAGTGATTTGATTATCTGGATTTAATTGCAGTAGAACTACAGGAAGAAACAACTGGCCAGCTTTTTAATACTTCTAATATTTGCGATTACTGTGCACAGCCATCATTTGCCATTTTAATAACACATTACTGCTACTCCATCTAACCCAGCTTGAAACTGCAGTTCAGGGCAATTATTCTGAGAACTACAGCGAGGAAAACTGTTGGAAAACTGAGGCACTTTGTCCAGAGATGTGAGATTCAGTATGTGAAGAGACACAACTTCTACATGAAAAAAATGCAGAAAGAAGAAACTATGACATATAATTAAACCTATTTCAGCCTCTTTCCATAGCTGGATTAATAATTAAGTAAATAAGTATCAAAATGTAGGCTACTGCCTTTTACACAAAGTCAAAAAGTAATATATTTTATGTATTAAATAAATTTTCACTGCCTAAACAACTAATGTAGAAAAAGATGCCCAATTTCAGAATCTCCTTAGTTTACCACTCTTTTTCTCACCTCTTATTCCTTCTGTGAAAGAAGTACACACAATTCCCATGAGCTTCAGGGTCCTGCAATACCTTTGTGGCTTCAGCTTGAACCAGAAAGATTTAAATTATTTTGTCAAATTACGTACTATAACCCTTAAGGAGTTGGCAGCTTCATTTTTGCCATGGTTACCACCACAAAGGGGCAGCAAGGCTATTAGCCAGAGCAGTTAAACCATAAAATACTGCACTTAATGATGAAAGATTCTTCCCTGACTCACACTAAATAATCATTGAACAATTAATGCAGGCATTATAAATGCACCCCCTGAGTACTAAAGCTAATACTCAAAAGCAGGAAGTAAATAGGGATCTAGAAATTAGAATACTTGCCCTGAAGTAATACTTCACTAAGCAATAATGTAACTGAGTTCATTTACTCGCTGCCTGCTGAGAATTCTACCAGGAAACAAAACACCTTGTGCACAAGTTCAACTGTGTAAAGCCAAAGACTTTAAAACAATATATACCACGGTCAAACCTACACGGCCAATATTTGCCACACTGTGGCTAGAAA